GAGACGGGCAAAGGAGCAGGCTTATAGGGCAGGAGACAGGCCCCTGTACAAATCACTCAGGAACACATTGAACAAGGAGATCAGAGCTGCTAAAATTAAGTATGCAGCAAAGCTGAAAAACCAGTTTACAGCCAACAACCCCACATTATTATGGAGAAACATTCAGCAAATTACCAACTACAGGAGACCATCCTCCATTTCTGATGCTAATCATGGCCTTGCTGAGGAGCTAAATGGCTTTTATTGTCGCTTTGAGGAAAGGAATGTCACACCCCTCCTCCACTCCAGCATAGCGGCAGCCGCCACCCCTCACCTGGAAACTCTTACTCCTCTTTCCTCTAAATCACAAGCTGCGTTCCTTGTGAAGGAAGAGGATGTCTGCAACATCTTTAGGAGACAGAAAGTACGGAAGGCACCAGGCCAAGATGGAGTAACTCCTTCCTGCCTAAGGACCTGTGCTGTCCAACTAGCACCTGTCTTCACAACGATATTCAACAGATCGCTGGAGCTGTGTGAGGTTCCATCATGCTTCAAAAGCTCAACTATCATCCCAGTACCGAAGAAATCCTCCCCTACAGAATTGAATGACTACAGACCCGTGTCTTTGACATCAGTAGTCATGAAGTCCTTTGAGCGCTTGGTGCTGTCCCATCTTAAAAGCACCACAGGCCACCAGCTGGATCCCCTGCAGTTTGCATATAGGGCAAACAGGTCAGTGGATGATGCAATTAACATGGGGCTGCACTTCATCCTGGAACATCTTGATCAACCAAGGACCTACGCAAGGATATTGTTTGTGGATTTTAGCTCTGCTTTTAACACCGTTATACCAGAAATCCTCACCTCAAAGCTTTCTCAGCTCACTGTTTCCCCTGCCATGTGTCAGTGGATTTCCAGCTTCCTGACAAATAGGAGCCAGCATGTGTGGTTGAACAATGTTACATCTGGCACAAGGCTGATCAGCACCGGTACACCACAGGGGTGTGTCCTTTCTCCACTGCTCTTTTCATTGTACACCAATGACTGCACCTCTAATGACTCAGCTGTAAAAATCCTGAAATTTGCAGATGACACCACTGTCATTGGGCTCATCCAGGATGGTGATGAGTCTGCTTATCAGCGAGAAGTTGAGAGGCTGGTGGTCTGGTGTAGTCAGCACAATCTTGAGCTTAACACCCTTAAGACTGTGGAGATGGTCGTGGACTTTAGGAAGCTTCCCACAGTGCTGCCCCCCCTCACAATATCCAACAGCCCAGTGTCAATGGTGGACTCATTCAAGTTCTTGGGAACTATCATTTCCAGGGATCTGAAGTGGGAAACAAACATCAACTCCATCCTCAAAAAGGCTCAGCAGAGGATGTATTTCTTACGGCAACTAAGGAAGTACGGCCTACCACAAGAGCTGCTGATCATCTTCTACACTGCTGCAGTCGAATCCATACTTTGCTCATCCATCACTGTCTGGTTTGGGTCAGCCACAAAAATGGACAAATGCAGACTACAGCGTATTATTAAAACAGCAGGAAAAATCATTGGTGCCCAACTGCCCTCTGTCCAGGAACTGTACATCAGCAGGACCAGGAAAAAGGCAGTGAATATTGTCCAAGATGCCACACATCCTGCATCTACTCTCTTCCATCTCCTCCCATCTGGCAGACGCTATAGATCGCTGTACACAAAAACTACCAGACACAAGAACAGTTTCTTTCCTTCAGCCATTTCTCTCCTGAATCTGTAGATTATTTTACCATCCTTTTACTATAGTTTTTAATACTTAATCAGTATGCTTATGGATATGTGTGTGTGTTTGTGCGCGTGCGTGCGTGTGTGTGTGGGTATGTATATATGTATATAGGTGTGTGCGTAAATGAACATGTGTGTGGGTATACATGTTCTTATGTGTTTTTAGGTATTTTTATTCTCATTTATTATGGTTGTTGTATGTTTTAGAGAGCGAACATCTACCGAAGACAAATTCCTTGTAAATGTAATTTTACTTGGCCAATAAATCTGAATCTGAAATCTGAAATTTAGTATGTTGTTAGTGTGGTGATCACCAGTGTTGGGAGTTACACCGTTTAAATATAACGGCATTCTTTTTTAGGTAACGGAATAATCTAATTAATTACTTTTCCCACTGTTGCAACAATTGTTTCTGTTACTGATAAGGAAATGCGTGCGTTAAGCAGCGCGGTGTGTTGAAGCTGTCATCAGCTGATCAGGAGCTAAAGAGGTAGATGTTTTCATCCAAGCGCATCACGGCCCGTGAAGAACGAGGAAGACGTGATAAATATCTACGGCTGCAGACCCCCCGCAGATTCGTTGCTGCAGCAGCGAATCTGCGGGTCTGCAGCCGTGCCCTTCTTAGCGTGACAGCGGGACGTCCCAAAGGTCCGCTCACCTGTTTACTGCTCAGACGTCCTGATCTTCTACCTTCCTAGATCATCCAGCTGTAACCTGTTTCTGATCATGTCTTTAGTCCCGCTGTAACACTGATGCATCAGTCTCAGACGTCATGGAGCTCAGGTGTTATTAGAACTACCTGTGTGTCTTTACCACCCAGCTTCAGCTCTTCTGTGGTTGGGTCTGACCCAAGTTAGTAAATGTAAGTCCTCCATCAGGTTTGTGCCTCTTCTAGTGTCATTTTAAAGGATTTTATTTATTTATTTAACCATTACTAGATTAGTAGCAACAGAAATGCTACTAAAAACACACAATTATGTGAAGCTGGAAAAATTAAAATGCTGTGCAAAATTACATTAATTTCTGTAATTTAACTAGACTGAGAGACCATTTAAAGGCTCGGGAACCTTTACATGAGTTTCTATTTGCAATTTTAAATTTTAGCTGATTGGGTTCTTGTTAAATATCACACAGTGACCTTTTAATAGTCTAGATTAGTGTAATGTTCCTGTTAGTAGTTCCTCCTGTTAAGTGCTTATTTATTTAAATTATTCAGGTTTATAAAAACATGTTAAGTTTGGACATACATTTTATTATGTTCCAGTCATTAGTCATTTATATTTCACTATTGTAGTAATTCTTGCATGCTTTAGTGAAAAAAGTAACTAAGTAGTTATTTTTCTTGGTAGTTAGTTACTTTTATAATCTTGTAACTCAATAACTGTTACTTTTTTGACAAAGTAATCCGTAACTATAACTAATTACTTTTTTTTAAAGTAACGTTCCCAACACACAAATCCCAGATGTCTCAAAACCCGCCAAGAGACAAGGAAGCAGTCGGCTCCCGGACACGTGATTGGTCTAAACATTGCTAGTGTTTCCGCTGCCTAGGACTAGCCGACGCACGCCGACTCCCCTCTGTTTAATTCAAAAGCGGTAGTAATTGAATAGCAGCGCGGACAGACCAAGGACTGTATTAAAACCAGTTTGTAGAGAGGCTCTGTCCATGAAACCAGAGACTGGGAGGAAAATAGGTACGCTGACATCCAGATGCTAGACATCAGGTCTTTTTGTTTCTAGCTGGCTAATGAGCTGCGATCGTTGGTCAATGGATCCAGAGACGTAATGTTATGTTGGTTCAGAGATCAAACTCCTTAAAGTGTAAAATCTGATTCCTGCTTTAAGTTGCGAGTATTTTGAGAGCTAAAGCTTTTGGAAACGATTGAAACGTTAGCGTTAGCCTCCCTGCTGCAGATTATAGCAGCCTGCATTGATCAGCGTGAGGCTCATATAAACGTAGATTATACCGTTCAGTGGTAGTTAGCTGTTCAGACTTGATAGTATAAACCAGCAGTGAGTGCATTTTCAATGTTTTGGATTTTGTGAATAGATTGTTACATCGCTGTAGTTAGCTAGCGAAGCTAAATTAGCGTCTATTAACATCTGCTGTCTCGGAAATAAACTAATAAACCCGTTAGTCCAAATTTCATTAGCGAAGACTTCACATATCCATCATTAATAAGTGTTTAAAGCTTTTAAAAATAAAAATGTACAAATAAAAGCTTTATATCTGACAAGTATTGAAAACTAGATAATTAGTTATCAATGCAGTCGCCATCTTGGATGGCATTTGAATATTTGGCCCTTTAATCAAGTTAAATCAACTTCACAAAGGGCGCAGCTGGTTTTACCTTTTAATCTAGAGGTCCTTCTAAAAGAAAGTAATGTCATTCTGTCCTCTGGTGTGCAATCATCTGAGATCTTTTAGTTAATGCCAGTTTATGAAGTCTAACATGCGCATGTAAGCAAGCGGAGATGTAGGGATGAACCTGTGCCCGAAAACATGTTCAAATACAAGTTAGCATGCACAACATCCCTAACTATGTTGTAGCAAGATGTTATTGACGTGTACATGTCTTCCAGTATATAGTAAGTCCCACTTCAAAGTAAACTTTGTTTGATGCGTTCATTTTACAAAACATTTTCAAAAGATTATGGCTGTCCTCTTTTAGGATATTAAGCATTTTCCAGAAAGAGTCCAGGTTGTAAAAAAGTTAATATGTTAAAAATAAACTATTCCCATTGGAGGCTGACGCATGGAAACTGTTTTTCTGATCATAACTGGTTAGTGGAGCAGATTATTGTTGCTTTAAGTGGATTAAAAAGGAAGCATTTACCAAATATAATTCTTTAAAATATATTTTTTCATACTTGGGCATTTACCTTACATTTTGTGCGTGAAGGTTTAGGAGGCTCATTATTCCAAACGTAACACCTTATTTAGTGTTAAACACTCCTTAATGATTTCTAGTGGAAGCATGATATAGCAAGAATAACCCCAGTGGGTGGAGGTTCTGTGTTGCAACAAGTTTACACTCACTGGTTGCTTATTTAACGCTGCTTGCAGCTGAATTTTGGGTGAAGGCTTCACAATTCAAAGGGACGATTTGTAGTAAATGCTCTTAATCATAAGTGCATTGAAAATCTTTTCTCAACCATTTATTTTCACAGGCAAAAAAACTGTTCTAATGAATAAAGTGTTTACTAATTAGAATATTTACAATCGTAATAACCAACGTTAACATTATTTCCAACAGGAGGTTCAGAATGTCTGAACTTTTTATGGAGTGTGTGGAGGAGGAGCTGGAGCCGTGGCAGAAGCAAGTTCCTCGAGTTGACCTCATAGAAGATGACGATGATGAGCCCATCTTTGTCGGAGTGCTCTGTATGTTTAAATACCTTCATTTTGGTTTAAAAAGTGCCTCTGAGTGGCTTTTTCTCATGTTTAAAGACGTTTTGTCAAATGCATTGTGTTATAAGTTTTTGCTTTATTTATTTTTTTTACAGCTGATATTAAAACTGATGAGCCTGATCCTGCACCTCAGAATAAAATGGTGGCAGTGACAGATTTAAAATCACCTCAGCCGGTTGTTGCACCTGCACCGATGGTGATGCCGATGACTGTACCTGCGACTCAGGGGAAAACTGCACCCTCCATCCTGACAACCGTAGCTCCACAGCCCGTCATAGTTAATAATCAGGTATATTTTGTTCTGTATTATTAGTTTTTAGACAGTAAAAAAAAAATTGACCTGGATGTGTTTTTTTTCCAGGGCTTTATCGTTGCTACGCCACAACTAGCAAACAGCACTGAATTTTTAGCAACTCTCGGTGCTCAGTATCCTCCTGGGACATCATTCACAATTGTTCCAGGTACTTTTAAGTTTATGCAAAGCCTCTCAGATTATTGGTTTTCATTTCTTGATGTCAGGTTTGTGTTTGCCGTCCTTCAGCCCCTCAGCAGCAGCAGATGTTTCATCATGTTCCTTCAGCCGCCCCATTGCCGAGCGCTATCCACAGGCCTCAGGTGCAACAGATCAGAAACAACGTAGTGACTTTGTCTCATGTCCAGAGTCCGGCTTTGTTTTCAACGCAAACAAGTCAGCAGCAGGCTAAACGCCCCATCGCACAGTTGGTTAAAACCACAGCAGTGAAGCCTGCCACAGTGAAAGACATCAATATCAAAGGTTTATAAAACTATTTGTGTAGGTTATTTTATTGTCAGCTGTAAATTATTATAAATTTAATCGCTTTGGTTTTATTTTCTTCAGATCAAAGCTTCGTCAGACAAGGATTGCCATCGAAGGAAGTTGAGCCTGTAGCCAAAAAATCGAAGCTGGATTCTGGTACGTTTCATCTGTAGTGCCATGAGAGCAGCACTTTAGTTTCAGTCCTTCGGGTTGAATCATTTTAGTCACCGCTGCCTTTTAGTGCTTTGGTATTGAGAATGTCTCACTTCTTTTTTTCTCTCCAATACACCAGCGAAAGTAATGGCAAGAACGGATAATGGCCTCATAAAATGTCCCAAATGTCCAGAGGGTTTTTTTTCTCCGGAAGCCCAGAAGATCCACATAATGGTCAGTAAGCTGTGGTGATCTGATCTCATGTCTGCCTGTCAGAGAACAGTTATGATGTCAAATCAAGTTATTTTTGTTTCAAAAGTAAAAGAAATAGTGCCACAAACCAGATATGTATTTACGATGAGTCTAAATGTTTTTGCTTTTTATTTAGTGACTTTGAAGATAGAAAGTTAAAGCATCAATTTTTTCTTTCTTTCAGAATTGCCATGGAAACGTGGAAAGTCAAACTCCAAATTTATGTGGAAACAAGCTCATCATGCGGGTCTCTGATTTCTACTACGGCCGTTTCGAAGGGTTTGCGAAAACACAAGAAACCGAGAAGACCAGCGTGTCGTTTAAGTGCCAAAGCTGTTTAAAGATTCTCAAAAACAATATCAGGTGAGATGGGGGCTTTTTTAACGTTTGCAGTGTAATAGAACTTTCTTTCTAATTTCTTAGCATTTTAGGCTAGACGTAGTTTAGATCATTAAACAAAACATAGTGATCAGCTGAAGATTATTTACTGAACGTGCTTTTTTATGCCTTGTTTTTTTCCACAATGTATGAATTAAAATGGCAAATTAAACATAGTTTAGCTTGGGTGTAATTGGGAACCTAAAAATCCGCACATGCAGAAAATGCTTTGATACGAATGCTTAGATTTTCAACCAAGTTACTCATTTATTTTTGTTTGCTTTGTGTTCGATGAGTGAGAATAGTTATAGTCGAGTTATTCACCTGGAGCTGTAGACTACGGCGGTAAATATTCACTCAAAGCCAGATGAGAACTTAACTCATTCGCTGCCAGCCGTTTCCTGATCGGTAAAGCCCTTCGCTGCCAGCGTTTCTCACTGTTTTATTGCTTTTATAAGAGTCGCAGAACGTTGCGCGCTATGACGATGTCGACGCCAAAACAACCAAAACAAGACAGAGGCTCACCTCTTACATCAGGAAGAATCTGCGCGTTTCGAGCATTATCCGTTCTTTCATGATCCGTAGTTGATTTGTGATCGGCAGAAGCTTTTCCGGTTCTCGCCTCACTTTTTTTACTGCAGCGGCCCAAAACGATCTCCTAACACATGGATGTTCTGCTTCCTGGTCACGTGACGTGTGACGTATGCAGATGAAGATTGGCTTTAGAGCTGAGATGCTTGTTCTCTCAGCGCGGGGGCTCGTTCTGACGCCCACACAGTAAAAAAAATGCTAATGACATTGGCAGTGGACGGTTGGATTTAAAATGACGACTTTTGTCGTCATTGGCAGTGAATGAGTTAATGGAGTTGCCAAATAGATATCCATCCTGTGCCAGTAAAATGAGAGAAGTCCTTCTCCGGCCTAACGTCTGTCCCAGATGGATGACATCATCTGTCTGTTTTCCCTCATGGGCCTAAATAAGAAAAATGACTGCTACTTTACACGGTGTAAAAATTGCTCGTGATTAAATAACTTTGCTTGGAGGAAAGATAACGGAGGAAAAAAATAGTCTCTGTAAGCTGCTTTTAATGAGGAAGCACATTTGTATTGCAGCGGCACTCTCAAAGCTGAGGTCAGAGTTCATCCCCATGAAAATCTCTATTATGGGAGCTGAGGTAGCAAAATGTGCCTGCTGATGAATGGGCTGTGCCTCGTCAGGGCAGCGGTGGCGGGTCGCTGTGGACGAGCGGCGGAGCTCTGCATCATAACACAAAAACAAGAACAAAACCTTTTATAATTGCTGATATTATGATGCCCATTATACGTACTTAGAGAGGGAGCTGTGAGGAGGATTCTTCATTTATCTTAAAGGGACTATAAGGAAGTTTGACAGTCAAAACATGTATAGACATAATAAATTTCTTCTTCATACGTTCTCCTGCAATCCCTGGTCCTGTAGAATGAGCCCTGGCATTTTTACTGTGATTGCCTGTTTTTCTGTAAAATCACAGAAAAAGAGAGCTGCTCGGGTCGAGCAGGCTGCTTCACGCGCGTTCACGCTCAGGCATAGCCCGTAGCATTTGCTATCCGTAGCTTTAGCAGCAGAGGGTGAGGTAGTGCCAACTCAGCGACTTTGTCGCTGTTCCTAATGCCTAGTGACAAACCTAGCTACATTTCTGAGGACACTTAGCTACTTTCTGTAGAACTCTCTTGTATATATTTCCTGCAAATTAGCAACAAAATAGCCGTTTTTGCTCCAAACCGTTTGTTGGATTGACGTTGTTTCAGCTGTCATCAAGGATATAAATGTTATAGATAGATTGAACGTCACTGGCTCTTTAGCTCATCTAGTAAGGTGTTGATCTCATGCAGAAGACCTGGGTTCGACTCCAGTTATAGACATATTTTGTTATTTTGAGTTTCTTTTTTACATTAATGATATATTTTTTACAGTAAGATGCCCAAATTTTTATTTGAGACTCGCCGAAAGGTATTGAATTCACTGATAAAAAGATGTGGGTTCAACTTTCATTTTGGAACAATTTGTCAAGCAAGGGAAGGGAATGATCTGAGCATGCAGGAGGACTGACCCATCATAAACCTTTGTCGGCTGTGCTGAAGAGAAAGGTACAGAACCAAATTATTTAATTAGCTGCGATTTCTCCTGCCCTCTGTCCTCCGGGCCACACACACGCACACACGGGCCTGTCTCAGCTGTTATTTTCGTTAAGGAGTGTGCACGTACAGCGTGCACACCTCATGCACGAGCTTGCTTTTGAAGCTGCAGTTGCGCGTTAGGCCTGAGTGGTGATCGCGAGCATAAAAACTTCAAACTTCCTTACAGTCCCTTTAAAAACCGTTGGGACCGAGATCACGCGCAAGAGTCAGAAGTAATTCGTTTCTCCTTCCCATTTTAATTTGCTTTGACAAATTAAGAGAACCCTTAAAATCGAAGTCCGGAGTTTGTTTGTTTGTGTATTTATTTATTTTTATTGAATTTGAGCCTTAAACGTGACTGGGGAAAAAAAAGGATTTTAGAAGCATGAAATTTAATTTTGAGCTAACAATATTCTGTCTGATCTACGTGTCTATAATTATCTCTTTATGTTTTGTGCATGCATTCGCATCTTCTCTGTTCCAGGTTCATGAACCATATGAAGCACCACCTGGAGCTAGAGAAGCAGAACAGCGAGAGCTGGGATAGCCACACAACCTGCCAGCACTGCTACCGACAGTATCTGACACCGTTCCAGCTGCAGTGCCACATCGAGAGTGCTCACAGCCCCATCGAATCCTCAAGTAAAACCTGGTGATGCTAAACATCTGTGCTGATTAACCCAGAAGCCAATTGACCCATCTGATCTTTCCATTCTCTCTCTTTCAGCCAACTGTAAAATCTGCGAGCTTGCGTTTGAGTCTGAGCAGGTGCTGCTGGAGCACATGAAGGGGAATCACAAACCTGGTGAAATGCCTTATGTCTGCCAGGTCCACTCCTCGTTACTGCTGCCGAGTTATTATTTACTTGATGCTTTAAAAATCTCAAACCACTGACATTGTGTTTTAACTGACTCCACAGGTGTGCAATTACAGGTCGTCTTTCTTCTCGGATGTTGAATCGCATTTTCGAACTGCCCATGTAAACACAAAAGACCTGCTCTGTCCCTTCTGTCTCAAAATAGCTCGATCGAGTCATGTTTACATGCAGCACTACATGAAACATCAGGTATGAAGCTCGTTTCACACATAATGCGTGTAAATTTGTAACTTCTTATATTTTCTGTAAAAAAAATATATATCTCACACTGCACTGTGGCATGAGTCCTACTGCTTATTCTTCACACTTTTTTATTTATTTATTTATTTATTTTGGTGTATTTTTCAGAAAAAAGGGATCTATCGATGTGGAAAATGCAGGCTTAATTTCCTCACATACAAGGAAAAGGTCGACCACAGAGCTCATGGCCACAAAACTTACAGGAGGCCAGAAGCCCTGGAGGGTCTTCCTCCTGGCACAAAGGTCTGAGCTTTAGTCGCATCTTCGTCGCTTGTTTAATTGCGATCTGTGGAGTTTTCTGATCTTTTCGTTCATCTTGCAGGTGACGATTCGAGCGTCTCTCACAGGAACTTCATCCTCAACGCCACTCCCCTCTGATCGAGCGGCTATAACCGTCTTTTCAGAAGCTTTGAATGTGTCCCAGTTCAAACCTCCCGTCAGCTTGCTCAAGGCTAAAATAAATGAGCCCAAAGAAGGAAAGCGCAAGGCCGTGCAGAGCAAGACCAAGAAGGAGGATCGTCGGATTTCCCAGAACAACCTATCACTCAAGGATCTCAGGTTACCTCAACTTTGTCTGGCCAAACATCTGAGCAGTACGCTGAACACGTGTATGTTATGGCAATGAGGTCAGAATCACCAGAGTGATCGACCAGCGTTTTCCACCTGAAGTCTTTAATGTGATAAGATGTTTATGAGAAAAGGAAATTAAGCAATCTTCCTAAGAAGTTAACCATCATTTTATGTGATCTTGTAATTAGGGAAGGAAACCTGAGAGTCTCCTCATGTAAGATCTTGTCTAATGGGCCTTTTCCACCGACCAAACTGGCATGGAATGGGAAGGATCGGGTCGCTAAAGCATCATTGCTGCTTTTTTTGTCGTTGCAAAAATCAGGGCTGGACTATAAATGACACATTAACCTGACTTCTGCCTTCACCTTTCCCACTTTTTAATAATCCTTAACATTAACTCTAAGAACCTCATTGGTTGAAAAAATGTGAACGTTTATTGTGCAACAAGCTGCATCCGCTAATATGTAGAAAAACTTAGAGCTTTTATGACAGGAAGGGTCCAAATTTAATAGACTTTATTAAAGCTAAGCTGCATACATGCTAAACGCCGGCCGATATATTAAATTTGTTTCTAAATTTGTTTGGCTAGTGGCCAAAATTATTTTCAAAAGCCGTTAATTTTTTTTATTTAAATCAGGCACCTGTGTGGCCAACTGCTGCCACAACTAGACTGAAAAAATGGTCAAACTAGCTGTCCGTCACAGCTCCTGTGGAGCCTAGAGGTACCCTGAACGCAGCATTGCATCGCTCCCTCCCTTCCTTTCTTTCACACTGTGGCTTGCAGCAGCAAAAACGTAAACAGACATATCTACCTTTTACTCTGTGAGAGTGTTGTAAAGTTTGTATCCCACATTGAAAATATGGCGCAGAGGAAGCTCGTTAACATGCTAAGACAGTAGATTTAATGAGTTTTAAAGAAGAAGCTCTGGATGGAGTGAGGCAACTTTGTAAGGCTTGCTGCAGAAATAAAAACACGGAGTATCAACAAACGCAATACTCATCTGTAACCCATAAAATAACAAAAAACATATCATCAGCATCATTAGATCAGCGGCTTGTGATGACACTTGTCTATGCTCACTCGGAGCTGCTACAGATATTAAGTGAAAAAATATAATAATGATAATCATATAATAAATCTCACAACACAGAATTGAGATCATTTATTTGCTTTTTGAACTATTAAGTCTGTTGAGAGTTTAAATGTTTTAAATCTGTTAGGTTGTTACTGACAGCAGCTACATATAAGTTTCAGTTTGGACCTGGTTGCTGCAGCGTGTGCATATGTACACGCTGCAGCAACCATTATGTGTAGATTCTCTGTTATCCTGGACATGACCATCCTGAGCTTTAATATAAAAAACAGCTGGACATTTCTGGTTATCTTGAAGATGTTTTTCTTCTCAATCTAGAGGCTTCTTCACTTTGGTTGAGAGCAGAAGGCTGTGAGTTATGGTATATATATCGGCCTTAATAATCTGCTTTAGATATCGGCCATTGGCAACAAAATTCTTTTAAAAAATCAATCGGCCTTAAATAAAACATCGGTCGGCCTCTAATACGTGCTAGATAATTGTTTTCTTCTTTTTTTTATTATTATTAATGTTGTGGACACTTAGGCCTAGTCCACACGTAGCCGGGTTTTTTAAAAACGAATATCCGCCCCTCCAAAAACTTGCATCCACACCACCTTGTTTAAAAAAAAACTCTGTCCACACGTACCCGGATAAATACGTTGTTAAGGACATGCCAGACCTGTTGGCGGCAGTACTTCCCCCGTTCTTAACCTCGTCCTTCGTCTGTGGTCTTCCGCAAGGAGCAGTAATTCCGCTTGCAAAAACAAACAAGCAAAAAGCGCTTGGACAATTAATAAAGCGAGCGCAGCTCTGAGGGCATCCATGATGTCGGCTAATGTAAACACAGGTCGCACACGTGATGTCAGCAGTTTTTTGGTCACGGAAAGTGACGTTGCGGACCTTAAAACTCTGGTTTTGTCTGTCTCCACGAAGATACCCAAAACGGAGAAAACGCAGATCTTCACTTTGGCCGGAGTTTTTAAAAAGATCCGTTTTCGTGTGGATGACAGGCCAAAACGTAGAAAAATATCTACGTTTTGACAGATCCCCGGCTACGTGTGGACAGGGCCTTAATTATGCTTGTTTAATAATGGCAGCATTTCTTCATTTGGAAAAGCACCTATGTGACTAAATAAAGCTGCATCCTGGCCTTTCTGCAGATCCAGTATAGGATACATATTTTATTAACTTTTATGTTACATATTTTCAATCTTTTGCTGGTGTCTAATATGAAATGACCTAAATTTTTGTCTAAAGTGTGTGTGTGTGTTTTTCTAGTGTTGGAAAAGATCACTACACGTGCATCGAGTGTAACGCTGATGTCGATGACTTCTTTTTGCATTTTCCAATCTTCTCACATTGTGGTGCGTGCAGCTATCGGACGAGCTGCAAAGTGTCTATTGGGAATCACATGATAAAGTGAGTCAAAGCTCTCTCTTATGTACTTTTTAAGGTCTAACTTCTATGATAAATGTGACTTTTGTTCCTGTCTTTGGTTAGATATCACAGCACCATCAGCAAAAACAGATACAACAAAAAGGATCACAAAAAGAATGTAACGGTTGCAGGATTTAAGTAAGTGTAATATTTCTTTTGAAATCAGGAAATAAGAGTTTAAACAGAAAAGTTTTGGTAATTCTTTCCTGTTTGTTCAGACTAACCCTGATCTGTGTGAACTGTGAGCTCCTTGTTGATGCATCTAGTGGGGATCTAATGACCAAACATCTGACTGATAATCCTGATCACGTATGTAAAATCGTGCAGGAAAAAGGTATGTTTACTTTTTTTTACTTTGAGGAAAGCTGCATTTGTACTTCAATAAAAACTTTCCCTCATCTCTAGCCCCACAGATTTGAAAGATGAAATGAAATATTAAAATATTGAGCTTAAATTTTATGTGCCTGAAAATCATTGACATACTCTGAGTTAGGGCTGGGCGATATATTGCAATATAATTTGAAGCATGTGCGGTAACTATATATATTACTTTATATTTTTTCTTCTGTTTATATATGTCAAAATGACGTGCTTTTAAATATCCTCGTGACAAATATATGCCACTTGAGGCATATAGGCCTCCTCCTCCGCCCACTCCATGCTTGCTGTTACTGCCATTCTGTTGCCCCAATGTCAGCAGGGTGCACATCTTAGTGACGTCATGTGTTATCGCGATATTGCAGTATTGCGATATAGCCAAAAACTCTTATCATTACTCAATTTTATATCGTTTATATTGCCCAAAGGTTGTCACGGTAACCGGTGTAGCGGTAAACCCCGGTAAAAAAGTTGACCATAATAATAACCGTCTTGTTTTTTAAAAACTATTATCTCGGTGGATTACCTTAGCTGCAGTGTAGGCGCGGTGACCCTTACCAGCCACCGTATCAGCTGCTGAAGTTGCCGGCAGCACATGAGCACTTTGTTGTTTACAACCAAAACTTTCTTGAAGCTAAAGCTGAAATAATGGCCAAAGGAGGAGACGGCAGCGCTCAGGACATTTATTATCCCTCAAAGGAGACAAAGTGGGAAGTACAGGCATTTTTTGGATATTTGAAGAATGCCGAGGGACAGTTGATAGAAGACGGCTATCCTGTTTGAAGCACGTGCAGAAAAAGTGTCTGTGAAAGGCAGCAACGCTTCAAATCTCATGACACATCTGCGTGACCATCACCCACAATTCTACAGTCAACGCAAGGCAAGCTAACGTTAGCGTTTTAGCTAAAATGCGTGATCCGAGGATTTAGGTTGAGGGAGAAAGCAACGAGTCACTATATAAAGCAGCCGCAGCGCCGCTACCTGCTTATAAACCGTGTCACGGACACCACCATGTTGAAATGACGCTATGCATTACGGGGCTCCCAGGGTCAGATAAGAGTTAGTCTCTCTCCGAGAATAATGAATTTAACAATGATTACTGCCTGATGACGTTTTCCCACAACTGCAAAGCTCACTGGAAGGACACAAACCGAGGACAATATTTTCCTGATATAAGGTTTATTACTCAAGTAAGGGTAAAAAAACTATCTGATTAGAAGGCTACTTGAGTACAGAGTATCATCTGATCTAATATTTTTTAAATGATGACATCAAACAGACAAAAAATAAGAAGTTATGGGCAAATATTGGTATTTTAAAGACTAAAGGGGAAATATGTAAACAAATAAACAACATAATTACAAAATAACAAATTGTAGGCAAAATGTAGACACAAACTGAGGACAATATTTTCCTGATATACAGGGTTTATTTAGTTTCCTGAAAATTACACGTTTTAAAAAATGCTGCGATAATACCGAAAACTGTGATAATTTTGGTCACAATAACCGTGAGGCTACATTTTCACACTGTGACAACCCTAGTTTGTCCACCCCTACTCTTGAGTGCTAAGAGATCACCTGAGATTGCAAGGCTATTTTTTTCAATCAAATCAATACTTTATTAATCCCAAAGGGAAATTAGAGTTTCAGTACACACAATTCAGAGATCAGACATACAGTTGTGGTCAGAAGTTTACATACACTTGTAAGAAATATAATATAATAGCTCTACTGAGTGTCCCGTTATTTCTAAAACTCTGATTTTTCTCTGATAGAGTGATTGGAAGAGATACTTCTTTGTCACAAAAAACATTCATGAAGTTTGGTTCTTTATTGTCTTTAGTATGGGTTAACAGAGAAAAGTGATCACATTTGCTGGGTCACAAATATACATACAGAAACATGATCTAGCAATTTTGGTGACTTAGAAACGTGTCAGTGAACTGAGCTTCATAGCATGGCCTCTTAACTTCTTGTGAGTGATTATGAGTGACTACAGCTGGTGACTTCTCTTAGGCCAGGTAAATAGGGCTCATTGGATACAAACGCCCACAAACGCTACAATGGGAAAGTCAAAGGAGCTCAGCATGGATCTGAAAAAGCGAATTATTAACTTCAACAAGTCAGGAAAGTCACTTGGGGCCATTTCAAAGCAGCTGCAGGTCCCAAGAGAAACAGTGCAAACAATTGTTTGTAAGTATAAGGTGCATGGCACTGTTTCATCACTGCCAAGATCAGGAAGAAAACGCAAGCTATCACCTGCTGCTGAGAGAAAATTGGTCAGGAGGGTAAAGAGTGAACCAAGAATCACCAAAAAGCAGATCTGCCAAGAATTAGAAGCTGCTGGAACACAGGTGTCATTGTCCACAGTCAAACGTGTTTTGCATCTCCATGGACTGAGAGGCTTCCGTGCAAGAAGGAAGCCCCTGCTCCAAAAGCGGCACCTTAAGGCTCGACTGAAGTTTGCTGCTGATCACATGGACAAAGATAAGACCTTCTGGAGGAAAGTTCTGTGGTCAGATGAAACAAAAATCGAGCTTTTTGGCCACAATGCCCAGCAATATGTTTGGAGGAGAAAAGGTGAGGCCTTTAACCCCAAGAACACCATGCCTACAGTCAAGCATGGTGGTGGGAATATTATGCTGTGGGGCTGTTTTGCTGCCAATGGAACTGGTGCTTTACAGAGAGTAAATGGGATAATGAAGAAGGAGGATTACCTTCACATTCTTCAACATAACCTCAAATCATCAGCACGAAGGTTGGGTCTTGGGCGCAGTTGGGTGTTCCAACAGGACAATGACCCCAAACACACATCAAAGGTGGTAAAGGAATGGCTAAATCAGGCTAGAATAAGGGTTTTAGAATGGCCTTCCCAAAGTCCTGACTTAAACCCCAATGAAAACATGTGGACAGTGCTGAAGAAACAAGTCCATGTCAGAAAGCCATCAAATTTAACTGAACTTCACCAATTCTGTCAAGAGGAGCTTGTGGATGGCTACCAAAAGCGCCTAATTGAAGTGAAAATGGCTAAGGGACATGTAACCAAATATTAGCACTGCTGTATGTATATTTGTGACCCAGCAAATGTGATCACTTTTCTCTGTTAACCCATAATAAAGACATTAAAGAACCAAACTTCATGAATGTTTTTTGTGACAAAGAAGTATCTGTTCCAATCACTCTATCAGAGAAAAATCAGAGTTTTAGAAATAACGGGACACTCAGTAGAGCCATTATATTATATTTTTTACAAGTGTATGTAAACTTCTGACCACAACTGTACGTAGGCATAGACACATGACAAGAATTGGTGACTGGTCATTCGCAACCCGAGTCGCGCTACCTTAATAGAGATCAGAGGGTTACATGAGGATTGATTCAGGTGGAGGTAAAAAAGGCACTTCAGAGCTACCCTCCCACCAGGAGGGCAGCTTTGCTCTGCAAAAAACACCTCAACACATATGCAACAGACAACACAACATAACATGAGACTCCAATAGGAAGGCAGGGGGGGGCTGGGATCCTGTTTACCCCAGCGAGAGCTGCCATCTACGGTGCTCATCTACTGTACAGTCACAGGTGGGAGGGAGATCTTGGGAGATCTGATGACCTCGCCAGGCTGAAGTCCACCTATCGGGGGGGGGGGGGGGTTCCACAGCATCTGTCTGCATTCCTTCGTGGGGGTTTGTTGCTTGCCGCTCAAGGCTACCAGGGCGTCAGATTCAGATAACAAGAATTTGTTTGGGTCAGGCTGAGATAATTTTCCTCTCTGCCTTCAGTCTTTAAACTGATCATTTAGGAAATTTAGGATTTATGCAAAAATTAAAAATTGGCTTTCGTTCATATAATTCTAGGATTTATATTAGTGATGTAGTTTTGACCTAAAAAAAAGTTTCAAAGTTTGTTTTACTATTTGACTTAGTACTGTAGGATGCATTAAGTTGAACACCTCCGATCGCTATGAAAGCAGGGAAAGGGAGGGGGCACAAAATGCCTGGGACAATTATTACATTATTTGATGGGACCTGTTAATAAGTAGTTTATAAATAAGTTTCTCAGGCTGATAAATAATATTTAATCTCTCTGAGCGACACATTGCTACTGTACGCTCTACTACAACACCACTGGGGAGGACTAAATTATGCATTTTGTGGAAGTTCACTACAACATATATTTGTATGTTTCTGTTTATTTTATATTATAAATGCACTGTAACTCTTGCTGTCAGTATTTGCAAAAGATTTTTTTTATCAAGTTGGATCTGTATTGGGTTGGCTTAAATAAGTTAAATCTCAGCCTAAACTCTTTCGGTCACAAACTATGAGCAAGAGTATTTGCTCTTTCATACTAGGAATCAGGATTTGTTTTTGTGATTATCTTGTTTCTTTCTTTTTCTTATGTTTTTCCCCTGTGCCCTGTGCAATTTTGACAGATTTAATAATTGAATAAATAAATCAACATTAATTTAAAAAATTGTCTTGAATATTCGAGATTTCAATTTCAGTCAAAATAATCGTGATTATAATTTTTGTCGTAACTGAGCAACCCTTTTTGTATGTGACCCTTATATATATAAACCCTTATGTGATTCCACAGGGGTCGTTGAGAGCCGGTCAAGGTTGAGCTCACAGCAGCCGTTGGTTGAAAAACTAAAGGAATCAGACTTGAAACCAGCTTTTGCTGATGTTGGACCCACAGACGATCACAAAAAGGATTCAGAAGAAACGAGCAGCCAGAATGAGAGCAAGTCAGAGATGTCATCACTGCCGAATGTGTCATCTTCAATTTCATCAGACTTGGGTCTTAATCTCTGAAGAATCTGCTCTTCACAGATCAGCTGCTCGTAGGTTAAAGAACTGCAGAAAAACACATGAGTGGAACTGCACAAGTGACTCACTAAAAATCAGCACTAAAGATCTTACTAACATCAATCTTTTATGATGCTTTGACTGTCAGTCATGTTATCACATCAGGACATAATAAACTATCAACGCTTTTGTTATTTTTCTGTCCAACTACTTTTGTTTTATTGGTTTGTTGTTTTTTTTTTATCACTTTTTCAAATAAACGGAGTTCTCTTGTTTTGTGTACACTGCACTTTTGCTCATTTCCAACTTCTGATCAAAGCATTATTAGATTTTTCATATTTCAAAGATTGTTCAAATACTTGCAGTTGCATTAAAAATTAGGGACCCAAATAGAAAAGTCATTTAAGAGTAGTTTTTGTTTATGTTCACCAGTTCTAACACCAACATTTGAGTTTGTTAGAACTTTTTTTTCTAAAGAGAAGAAAGAAAATGTCAAATCCATGCCAAGCTGAACATTTTAAAGTCATCCTAATTAAGGTGTTGTAGATTAGTTTTTAAGTGCTCATCAGTTACTGTATTCTCTTTAGTTGTTAGCTTTTACGTCATGGTGTATTTTTGAATGTGATATAGAACGTTTCTCATGAATCTGAGGTGACAATAATAAACACTCGCAAAAGAACTTTCGACTTGAAAATGTTTTGAATGATGTAAAGAAAATGTATCGTGATCATTTCCAGTTTCCAAATTCCTGTGGTAAATATTTCTGTGTTCAATTGTTTTAATAGCCATGATTAAAATAAATACATGCATAAGAAATGAAACTTAAATTTTATTTCTCAATTAAACTGGCCCCAGTTCATCTTAGTGGAGTTAGTAGCTTAACAAAAAATAAATAAAAATCTGGTACTAGTTGTACAGTAATCCACCCAAATAGTTTTACTGTTTTAAAGGTGCTGAATGTTTAGACTGATCAAAGGAATATATGTCGACACAACATGCTTTACTAGTCTTTCTTCTTTTACTTTAAATATTTTTTAATTACTCCTGATCCTGTTGACTTTGTGTGCCAACAAAATATTCTATGGCTATGGGGACATTTTATACATATTTTTATATGGGTTGAAATGTAAATGCTGCATTATAGCTTTTTTAAAAGAATGCTATGGGGAAAATGTAAATTCATGTGTCAGTGTGTAAATGTTTTGAATGCCTTTTTTTCCTGTATTGGACATTTGAGATTTCAAACTACCGGTAGGTTAGAATATTAACATCCTGTTTGTGTTTTCAACTTTAAATAAAACTTTAATACAAAGCGAGTGACTTATGCTGTTGTAAAGAGGTTGGTAAAAATAGAAAATTTGATTTTTGTTTCAACGTTAAAATAGCCCCAGTTCAATTTGCTATAAAACGTTTCACTGAATACTGAATGTTCTTACATTTAACAATAGCGTTAAACTGAAATCAGTAAGGCGCATTTCCGGGAGTGACGTCATCCCTGTAACGTGTAGGCGGTGCGGGAAAGAGCGTCGTTCCCAAGACAACGGAAAGCTGATGTAGATGGCTGAAACTCCCAAGTTCGAGTGAGGAAGGTCTCCAGAGGTTAACTTCAGAAAATCAGCATAAAGTGAACTCGGTTCATTAAAAGTCTTTAAATGAGTGGGTCAAAGTATTTAACGCTTGATAAAGTTTAAAAGTTGGCAACGTGAAGATTTGGACTCGACAAAAGCACTGCAAACATGGTAAATTCTTCTGGCCAGACGGTTTTAGCTTCACTCTGCTCAGGTTAGCTCACAGTAACCAAATGCTCTGCGGCCGCTTCGTTTGTGCTTTCTGGTGTCTTTCTTTGGCAGAACCGTAACTCGCTGTACAACCAGCAGCAGCGGCTGACCATCCAGCGACAGATTCGGGAGCAGAACTTGGAGGAAGGGTCCAGACGTTTAAACCGAGAACGGCAGCTGCTGGCCGCTATTCAGGACGAAAAGCGGGCAGAGCCGATGAGACACCTGCGGGAGGTGCAGCAGGTGGAGCAGGAGAGGCAGATTGAAAGTGTCCTGCGAAAGGTTGGACTTTATCTCACATCACAGCCCTGTTGTCTTCCTTTAATATTATTACGCATTATAATGTGGAAGATAAAATAAAATCGCATTTTATTAAAGAAATGTTTTACACCAGCAACAAAATAAGTCTACTGTTTTGCCCATCCCACTTTGTTTACAGGAGAACATGAAAAGAAGCCAATGAATGTACTCCTGTACATTAAATGAAGGATCCATCATATTGCCCTCAAATTCTTCTTCACAATCTTTTATCAATTCAAATGAAAGGATAATAGAGGAAAAAATCCACAGTTTTCCAGTTTTTACTTATTTGTTGCACTTAAAAGGTTCAGATAAGCAAACATATTTCAGTGTCTGACAAAGCTGAATAAATCCAAAACGCCTTTTTCAAACAATGATTTAATTTATTCAAGGTAGAAGATATCCAAACAATCCTGATGTGCCCCACGTGAGGAATGAAATCATTAATTATCTGTGAGAAACCAAATTATTTGGAAAGGTGATAGCTGCCAGACCTTCAAAATAAAAAATTTACTCAACTATAACCTGTTAAGCACAAGTAGGTAGAAGAATCTCAAAAAGTAACACATGCCTTGTTTTCAAGGATAAAGGAATAAAGAGCCTCCTCTGGTTGTAGTCGAGGTCAAAGATTACGATTCAACAATAAGAAATGGGGCAAATATGGCATCTATGGCAGAGCTTCAAGGCCAAAACTCTCCTCACATTTACTAAAAAAAACATGTTTTGTGATGATTCCCACAAGTTCAGATTTGGACAGATGGAACAAAAGCAGAAGTTTTTGGAAGGTCATAAAGATACTAGTAGTCAAACATGGTGTTGGTAGTGTGGTGGTCTGGGCAGCTTTGCTGCTTCAGAGCGACTCGCTTCCAATCATTACAAACACTCAATGGCAGCTGTTGTCAAGAGTTTTACAGCCAGTTATTAGGTTTAGGATGCGTTTAAAATATTTGATCTGACTTGCAGGCAGAAGAGGAGAGAATAAGCAGGGAGAAACAGCATGAACAAGAGGAGAGAATAACTAAAGAGTTGGCCCGCATCAATCACGAAAAGCAGAGGGATGAGAAAATGAGGGAGCATATTAGAAAGACCAGGTACACACAATTATTTATTCTGATATTTACTGTGATTTCTATCCTAAACCAATCACCCCGATGTTTTTGATTGGTTAATGAAATATTTGTTTGTCCATAATGTTCAGCTTGGAGCTTCGGGAACTAGAATCTAAACTAAGGATTGCTTATGTGAGCAAGGAGAGGGCTGCACAGATCGCCGAGAAGGAAGCTATAAAGCTTGAGACCATGGTGAGTGCTGTCATTTTCTTTGCATTATACCAAATACAGAAAAGCATGAAGTAAACATAAATATTAGAAGCAATTACCAAAAACCTGCACGTTATCAACAAAACAGTCTGATTCCTCCTAAAAGAGTTAAGAAGTTGTAGAAAGACTTTCTCAAACTGTAATAAAAGCTACAGAATTCATATTGTCTTGTCTTTTGTCAGCGTGAAGAGGAGGAAATCACTCGCACGGTGATGAGAGAACATGATCAAGCAGCACTTGAGCAGCAAAAGTTGGAGCAGAGACGTCACGAGGAGATGGCGGAGCACCAGAAACAGCTGGAGCAGCAGCTCATGGACAGGGAGCGCAGAAGACAGGAGGCGTACGAGGAGTTCCTCAGAGAGAAGCGGATGGTGGACGAGATCGTCAGGAAGATTTATGAGGAGGAACAGATGTGAGTCAAACAACGACGGTGGCACAGGAGTTAAGTGCTCGCCCCGTAATCGGAAGGTTGCAGGTTCGAGCCCCGCTCAGTCTGTCGCTGTCGTTGTGTCCTTGGGCAAGACACTTAACCCACCTTGCCTGCTGGTGGTGGTCGGAGGGACCGGTGGCGCCAGTGCTCGGCAGCCTCGCCTCCGTCAGTGCGCCCCAGGGCAGCTGTGGCTACATTGTAGCTCATCCCCACCAGTGTGTGAATGTGTGTGTGAATGGGCGAATGACTGATTGTGTTGTAAAGCGCCTTGGGGGGTTCCAGGACTCTAGAAGGCGCTATATCAAATACAGGCCATTTACCATTCAAACTAATTCTCTTTTTTTATACAGGAAAACACACTCTTAATTCCTTACAATGTCTTTGATGTTTCCCCTAAAGGGAGAGACAGCGGAAGCTGGAAAAGGTCAGAGCCACTCAGCAGCAAATTGAAGAAATCAAAAGACAGCAGGCCGAGTGGAGACGCATGGAGCAGGAAATGATGGAGGCCGAGAACAGAAGGATCATGGAGTTTGTAAAGCAACAGGAGCACAAGAAAGAGATCAGAATCACCAGGAACAGAGAGAGGGAAGAAGCCAAGGAATATGTTCATAAGATGGTAGAGAATCTGCTTTCCTCCGATGCTCTTACTTATCCATCCAGTGTTACTTTACTTTTTATATAACAAATGACTGGCCTCCAGCTGTGTGACAAGATGGTGAAGGAGAGGAAGGAGCGTGAGGAGCTGGAGCAAGTCCGTGAGAAGCTGTATTTAGAGGAACAAGAGGAGGCCAACAGGAAGAGAGAGATTGTAAGGATTTTTACTGCTTTCCTAATCGTTAAAATTTCAACAGATGTCATTTTGAAAAGGCAGACAGATATCTAATCCATGGTGAAAAAAAAATCTTTAAAAAAATACATTTTTGTTTTAGTTCAGCAGCTTATAAAACAAAGCATTTTCAAATTTCTTTACAATGTTGTGGACAATCTATGATCTTTTCTTCACTAATGAATTCAACAGGAGGAGATGAGGGAGAAAATCCACCAGAGACTGATGCTGCAACAAACCTGCCATGAGCAAATGGCCTTCAAAGAAATGCGGAGACAAAAGGAAAAAGAGCAGGACGAGGAATTTAGGAAAATGATGATGGCCAAGTTTGCTGAGGATGATCGTATTGAGCAGATGAATGACCGCAAACGTCGCATGAAGCAGCTGGAACATCGGCAGGAGGTGGAGAAACTTATCGAGGATAAAAGACAACAGCGTGAGGCTCAGAAGGTAAAACCTCCATTCTCTTTGTTCCTCCAGCAGAAGTTAACCTGTCGAGCCCTTCTGCATTCATTTAGATGGTTTTTGACACACTGTCTCTCTTCCAGGAGCTGGAAGCTAAAGAACGAGCCACTGAGCAGGAGAACGAGGCACTGCGGAGACAGATAATTGAAGAAGAAAGGCAGAAACTTCTGAAGCACCATGCCACTAAACTCATTGGACACTTTCCAAAGGTCTGTGTGAATCCTAAATTATTATTTTCACATGTGAACATAGAAGAAATCAGTAAAGGACTTGTGTTTTCAGGGCTTGCTTCGTAAGGAAGACCTGGATTCCTTCAACGATGATTTCAGGAAACACTTTGAGCCTCGCCAAGCCAGAGCATCCTTTGATGAAGGCGAGGACACAGAAGACTAAACGTTTCACCTCCAGTTCACCACTAGAGGGCAGTTTAAGTTTGCAGTGCAAATGTTTTGAAGTATTTCAGTCACAAAAGTTTTTTTTAAATTATTTTTAATATCTGCTTCAATGTCTTTTTTTTTTTTTTTGCATTCAGTAATCAAGACACTGCTTGTTTGATAAGCATCTTCAATAAAATCAACAAAAATACCTGGTGAATGAATCTGTGTAAGAGAGAACAACCTGTCAGTGACTGACCTCTAAGGTACTCTACTCCACGACATACAAAGTTATTGTCACAAAGAAGTTTTCAAACCCTAATAAGTCATCATTTCTTCAAACTAAAAGAACATATTCATGATTTTCACCAGTCAAGAGCTTTCATGAATTAATCTTCTGTGAAGGACAGCAGCTTGGCAGCTTCGAGATGCATCTGCACACAAAAAGCCACGTTATCATTTCAAATAAAACCCCAAATCACAACGTCAGTAAAATAAAGGTGCCTACCTTTTGTCTTTCGAGAATGTCAATCAGCTTCAGTTGTTTCTTGAAACCAACAATAATTTCCAATTTCTGCTTCTTAAGCATTTTGTTTTCAGCGAGTAGATTTTCTTTACTTTGAAGTTCTTTGCTTATCTGGTCCTGATTTTACAGAATTTGGAAATAAAAACAAACGAAAGTTGAGCAGAGCCTCGTGATTTTAGATCAGACAGATTTAAAGTCAGTTATAGTATTTTTTACTGGTTTGTGTAAACAATAGGGTTTTGTGTGCCTGGAAAGGTTTTAAATTTCTGCTCCTAAATGTTTCTTCATCAGTTTTAAGCTGTAAAGGATCACGTCTCCCGTTTTTTTCTCTGAAAATTTTAAATACTAAACTTGATTGAAGCTGCTTAAGACTTTCCTCCTACCTTGTTGATCTTTTTGGTCTTGTCTAGCTCTGACCTTAACTTCTCCACTTCCTCCAGAGCTCTGTTCAAGCGAACTTCCACAGTGATGTGGACGGCTGCTGCTTGCTTTTGAGATCTGTTCAGGTTTTCTATTTCCTACACAGAACACAGAAAAGTCTGATCTGAGCAGCTTGAAGGACGGACTGGAGGTAACGAACTGTGTAAACAAGTCGGTCAGTCTTTAAATATTAATACCAACTTTTTGTAAAGCAGAAACTTGCAACTGAAGACCGTCAGATTTTTTAGCAGACTCTTCAGCTAAAATTCGGTGCTTCTCAATCAGAGTTTGCTGGATTTTTGTGGTCTTCTGCATTCGGGCTCGATCCTCCTCCACTTCCTTAAGTTTCGCTCTCAGTTTTACATTTTCATCATCCTTTAATACAAAAAATAACATACCGATTTAAACTTGAGGCTTAAAATTTGTATCTATTACTATTAATTTGTAACATTTTTACCCTTTTATAATATTCACATGAGAGTTGATCAAGTTCTTCTTGCATAATTCGAAGTGTAGCCTTCAGTACTCGCGTTTGAGCCTCTGAATCACCTAACATTAAAAAACAAAATTTAAAAAAGTCTACATTAAAACCCTGGAAAATGCCTTTTATACTTAAGAACATAAAAAAACAAAAATATTAAGACAAAAATTGAATATTACAAATCCGGTTTATTTCATTAGTGTTTTTTCTCTCTTATTCTTGTTTTAAGCTAATTTATTGCTAACTAATGCTTATGCTTAAATCTCTCAAGGTTGGACATCACTCTTCCACTGGAGTCAGTTTGCAGCTGCACGGCGTGCTGAGTTTCATTAGTAACTGTCTCAAATAATCCTAATGTGCAGGTCTGCTGTGATTTTAAAAAACAGCAAATAAAATGAATCACAAGTCACCACATATGATGAAGAAAACACATTTTTACTGAGCTTGAAACCTGTAGTTTAAGAATATCTTTTAAAATCAGGAATAGTTATTGTAAGTTTATTTTTCTTTAAATATTAGGATTTTGTAAAGGGATACAAACATTACCTGATCCTCCATTGTCTTCAGGAGCAGGTACATCCTCCTCAACGCTGTCATGAACAACAGGCTTGCTCATTTTCTCTTCCATGCTCTGAACAGCCTTTGCCATGAAAGATTCGGCCTCATCAGCTAGAGCGGCAAAATCATCTGTACATGTCGTCTTGGAGCTTCTGAAATAAAGGAAATACTTTGTTAGTTTTTTAATTCATCTTCAAGGACACAAATAGGATAAATTTGGACATAAATTAAAGTAAAACGCACACAGTGTTATTGTGATGCATCTTTCTTTGTTTTCCTCCAGACACGTGTCTTTGGGCTGTTGGCACAACCTTCTTTTTGGTTACCACCTAGAAGAGAAGTTTATATCAATATTTTTTTTATCAAACTGTAGTTTATATTTATGAATTACAGTATGTTATTAAATATTGTGAACAAATAAATGACCTGACATATTTTTGAGTTTGGGGTTCAAACCTTAACCTCAGTATCTTGCGCAGCATTTGGTTTGGGTTTTCTTGTGCTGAAACTGAGGAGGTAAATAGATGCATATGCCACATATTAGTTTTCTGTAATAATTATTTATTACTGTTTTACTGTAGAAAAAACAAGTAAATGAATAAATACCTCATGTATGTAATTGTATTTTAATATTTAATTGTATTATAAAACATTATATTTCTATTACCTGGAATAGTCTTGGTCTTCACTATCTAACAGCAGCACATTGGACAAGGGCTTTGACAGAATGTCTTTTTCTTCTTTCTAAAACACAATTTGATTGACTCTTTGGTGTTAAAAGATTGACTTTGTTCATAAAATGATTATTGTTAGACAATACCTTCATAAGTTCATCTGCTTGGCGCACTATATCTGCAGTTTTGGCTTCCAGCTCTGCATTTAAGAGTCTGATAAAAACAGGATTCTCATTGTTTACTGGACAAAATTTACCATTAAGTGCCAGCATTAACACAATTATTCACTAACTAATTAGAGGTCATCATGACTATTTGGTGTTGGATAAAAATGGGGCTAGTATTTTAAAAATCTACTCAGTTTATTTTTTTTAAAGTGTGTTGTGTAAGGAAACAGGAACGTGATCTCAAATAAAGCTAAAAGGTGCATGAGCAGATAGACTTACTTGTATTTCTCTTCCTTAGCAAAAATGTCATCTGTGTGTTGTCTTGTGAACCCACAGGCAGACTTCACCTGCTGTCTAAATTCTACCTTTTTGGGTCTCTCAGCCTTACTTGTTGAGTTGGGACGTTTGTTGATCTGCAGCAGGATGCAGTTAAACGGAACTGGTCACACACATCGATATATATATATATAGGGTTGCACATTTATCACGTTGTAGCTATCCTAGAAAGAGCCGTGTGTCGTTAAGCTTTAGAACAAGTTAAAACCTGTTCTAGAAGCGCACAAATCATTATGTTTTAACATTTTTTATAGTAAAAGGAAACATATATATGTACACACCTGCGAAACGAGGCACGAAACCGTTTTCTTCGACTTTCTTTCAGCCATTGCGCCAAACAGAAAACAGACTACGCGGTCCAGGTTGCCTAGCAACAAACAGCACATTCCACACGCCAACTACGGCAGCTGTCGAAGAACATTCTTATGATTTAGTTTTATTTTTAACCCTTTTTAGGGCACTCATTGAAGTAGTTAAAATTTTCAATTTCAATCCCAGCGTGTTATTGTGGTAAATAACCAAAGTGTATTTTTGTTGTTACAAATTTCAAAAATATTTATTTTCATGCTTCTGCATGAAAATAAATAAATAAATATCAGAGAAAAGAAAGTGATCAAATGTGAACGTTGGCCATGTAAAAGAAATCCCTAAATAAAATAACATGAAAAAGTTAAATAAACATTATTTTTGAATGATATAGATGATTATAAGGCACTTCAGAATAATCTAGCTAATTTGAAAACATATCACTGTAGAATTATACAACGTATATCACAATAAATTCAATTCAATTCAAAAATACTTTATTAATCCCAGAGGGAAATTGATTGCTGTAGTAGCTCAGGATAATAATAATAATAATAATAATCAAGTCGTCAAAGAGTTATTGTATATTACAATGGCTGTTGGCAGGAAGGATCTCCAGTAGCGGTCAGTGTTGCAGCGAAACTGAAGAAGCCTCTGACTGAAGACACTCTTCCGTTGTCGGACAGTATTGTGAAGAGAATGCTCAGGGTTGTCCATAATTTTCTTGATTCTCTGGAGAATCCTTCTTTGCATGATCTCCTCCAGTGGTTCCACAGTCGTCCCCAGAACAGAACCAGCCTTTTTTATTAGGCTGTTGAGCCTTTTCAGGCTCAATAAATAATAATAGCCTATAGTATATTTTTTTATAAAAACAGATTCCTGTTGAATGTTTTGAAAGGTATTGGTCAATAAATACAATTTCTGATCAAATATAGATTATTAGAATATTTTAGAATATTATTTGCAGATCTGCCTCAATGTCATTTTCTTCATCATCATCACTGAAGCTGAACTGTCCTCCATTTTCCATAGAAATCTTAGTTTAAAACTGTAAAACATATTCAATATCGTAATTGTTACTTTTACCATGAATATTAAGATAGTCTAAAATCCAACAAATTTTACCTAAAAATATATGTAATCTCTTTTACCTGAGGGTGTATGTTCAGATATGGCACCAACTCCATTTAGTTTAACATTTACAACACATATATCCTTATTTAGCACAACTAATCAACCTTGTGATGTGAGAGTTTCATAAACCTAGCATTGCTAGCTTTAGAGATCTGACCGTAAACACAAGAAGAGACCGAGCAGTTTTCTGCTTCTGCAGACACACCAACATTTGGCGCGTTACAGCCCCGCGCTGATTGGTGGAATGGTGCCATGGCCATGACATTGGTCCGAAAGGGTTAAAATCTAATGGATTTCTAATGTAACCCTTCACAATATATTTGAAAATTTCAGTTTTATTTTTGTGCATTCATTTCCTTTAAAATAATGTTTTTCTTTTTATATATTTTCTTTAACTTGCGCACTAATTCACCATCTTTTCTGCACTTGTGTTATATCTCTGTTCCACAGATATTAAAAAAAATCTAAATCAAGTTGATTGAAGAATACAGGATGACTCTTTAAAATAATTGAATTCCATTAAATTCAAATAGTTTTTTTCATTGTATTCTATTATGTTACATTTTATGGAATGATTGTAAAAACAAAACTTTACAAATTAAAGACAAAAATATATCACTCTGTAAAAACAGTAGATTACATTTGATATTTTTCTACTGTTAATTGCTGCATAATTCTCTGCTAAACTTGGGCTTTTTCAATCAAGGACTTATATAATTTTATTGAGCAAAAATATGTTTTCCATAACAATGATAATAAATTCCAAATGAAAATAATTTAAATCTAAATAATGTCAGAAGTATCACCCATTTAAATATCCATTGGTGCCTTCAGCTTGTTTCTTGTTTTGATGCTGAACGTCTCAGTGCGCATGCGTGCACCCAGCAGCTACTACTCGCAGTGCACATGCAGAGAAATCCCACAACGTGCGGGGCAGGGCGCACCGGAGGGACTAAACTGTTTGTTTTCCTGCCGTCCACGTTGCTGTTTACCTTTATTTTTTATTTATATCCATGCAGCTCTCCGGATCCAACGGCAGCTCGTAGCTCAGCTGCCCCGCCGCCCCCACACCGACCGACCGGGTGTCTGTCTGGACCTCTGGACCTGGAGCGAGCGATCATGTGGAGGGAGGAGGTCTGGGTGGGAACAACAACAACAGGGCGCGTTGCTGTCCCGTCGCAACGTGCCCCGGTCCATGTCGCTTAGCTCCGCCGGGTCCCCACATTTGTTGAGTCCAGTCCGGTTCTGAGGCCCATCCTGATGGCGGACGAGGAGCCCCAGCAGCCGGAGCCCGGAGCAGGAGGTCTGCCCGGCCTGCTCCCCGGGCTGCAGGGTGCTGAAGTCAGCACTCTGCAGCTCAGGATCAAGAACTCCATCTGGTGAGGCGTTCACATGCAGCTGTGCACGGATCCATGTTTGCTGATTTGTTTTTTAAAAGATCATTTTAGCTGCAACAGTTTTGTCTTCCAAACTGAGAAGTGCTATCATGGAGGTTAACTGAGTATAGAGAATTTAAAAAGCCATAAATAAAATTACAATAGATTCTGTTAAAAGTGCAAAAGTTACTCAAAATTACTTCTTATATTTGGCTAAATGATTCCTGTGAATGAAATTAAACAGAATTATATAGGTTACCAACATATTTTAATAATAGCAAACTTATTTGACTGTTTTCACACTTTCCAATAGTAAAAAAAAAAGTTGATTAAAAATGTTTTTACAATATTTACATTTGAAGTTAGTGGTAAAATAGCATGTGAGGTTTGTTCTAACAGTGAAAAATGTAATCTTTTATCTAAAATACAATCAAGATAAGTTCTGAAGTTCTGTTTCGAGTTAAGAATCCTCAACGTTAACCTTACTTATGGGCGTGTGACCCTGAGGGTCTGTAGAGGCTCGAAAGGAACATGAAAGTGAGTTTAATGTAAACAAAAGATCAGAACGTTCATGCCATCAGCTGCTGGTCTCAGTTCTGTTCAAGCTGATGAGTCGAGAATGAGCTGCTGGTTGCTGAGAAGAAACTTGACTGTTTTCTTCTATTTTTTGCTTTTTGCCTGCAGCTTTGTTTCAAGGTTAATATGCACACATCAGAAGACTTGCTCAGTTCTTATTTAAAAGAATAAGGGAGGGGTTTAAATTTATCAATGAGGCTCCAGAAAACCATTCTTTTCTTCTAGCTGTCAGCTGTTGTTGCTTCTACAGATCCAGAAACAAGCCTGCACATTACATAAAGATGCACCATCAATGCATAATATCAATAAGGATTAGAATAATCACAGACACCAAATGCATTCCAATCAGACGGACTGAACTGTTCTAAATGCCTACCGTCAGTTCAGATAATAAGTCCTGTCTTATTTACTAATTGTGATAGCATCAGTTATCAGTGAGTTATCATGTTAAAACACTCCATGTGCTGAATGTTAAAGTCATGGTGGTTAATCTGGTTGCCTAATATGTAATTTTTACATGCAATTTGTGTCTCTAGCTTGTTGGTGCTGCAATCTAAATGAAATTTTGATATATTGTGTAAATCTACTAAAATATTTTATGTGGAAGATGACAAATTATTGTGGAAAACATCAGCATTTGTTGTTGTTTTTTGGAGCCATGTTCTGACATTTTGTGCTATAATTTGAATATCAAGCAGCCATAAAATGTCAAAAGGCCAAGTGACCAGGAAAGGTCAAAGTTCAAGCGTCTGCAGGAAGTAGAGTATCTCTTCGGAAACGCACCAAATATTGCAAATACTGAATGTGTGCTATAAAGATAATAAACCCTATAGGATTATTTGAGTGTTTATTTAAGTTTACATGCATATCACAATAAATAGGATCCTTGTTTGTTGTTGTTGTTTTTTAATAATAAATCTCCAGTAACTTGTGCTGCTTTTCATTCAGGCATTCAAATCACAGAATTCATCTGTGCTGCAGAGTAAAAGATGACTTGCATCAGCTCTTCGTTTCCTAATCAGAACCCTTGCCGAACCTTGCGTCAGATGTCGTTCAGTTTACCTGCCAAATCTGCCTCACAACGAGCTTACTGTCAGGCTTCTAGAACCAGGAAATCCTCTGCCCCCTCCTTTCCTGGTAACAGTGAATTAAAGTGAACCGTTCTTGTCTTGGCTTAGAGCGTCTCCTGATTCTGACCTGCGCAGTGTCGTCAAGTAAGAGTCTGTAGCGGTTACCTGCCTTCTGTCTCATGGGTAGCAAGGAGAGCTGCAGGAGTTTTTCATGCACCTGATTGCTAGTGGTTACAAATGTGTACAAGTAGTTCAGCTTGTATGGGTCGTTCTTTTCATTATGTCATGGGTAGATTCCCGCTTTCTGGCGTCTGATGAAACAGATGCTGCATTTGTCCCCGTTGTCCTCGTCGGCAGACTTGAGAGATGCTGAAGGGAGGGTCATCTCATACCGATCATTCCTCTGCTTTATAAATAAATACTCTTCAGAAACAAGTGCTCATGTTACACCAGCTTCATGCTAATTTCTGCTTTGTTTCCTTTTTTTTGGCCAGCAAATCGGTTCAATCTAAAGTGGAAAACATTCTGGTGAGTTATTCTATTTTGACGCCTAATTTAAATTTTGTGAATGAATGATGTAACTTTCACCTGATTATTTTTAAGCAGACTCATGATTTTAAGGGTTCTCGACATAATTCTGAACCTGAAAGCACCTCCTCTGTGTTCTACATTTGTAATTTGCTTAAGTGAATAAGTTGGATAAAAGCTTCAGCTAAGTAATTAAATTTAAATGTTATTTTGAGCCAGGTATTAACCGTCCTTATTATACAGGTAATCCCATACGCAGCAGCTTCTTAGATCAGCCAATAGATGGAGCCTTTTAGAGTGGACGACCTGTTAGCTCAGAGCTCAGGTGAATTATTTACTGACTGTTTATTTACTTTTTTCTCAGTCTGATGGATCATCCTGTTTGACACGCTTTCCTGATGTGCAGCTTGATTTTATTAATGATAAAACAAGTTCAACAAATGTACTTTGAGTAGTAAAGGAACAGGAAATGCTATTAGTCACCACTTAATAGGTTTTGTTTCTCAAAACGTTCCTGCTCATGTGTTGTTGCTTTTTGAATAAGTCCCACGCCATTGTTTTTAAAAGATGGATTTTAACAGATTCCTTCTAAAAAATTTATTTTGGTAACACTTCATAATAAGGATCCCTTTAATAACTTTACTTAGTGCGATATTAACCATTAACAAACAGAGGGTCCTTTCTTAACATTACTTAGAGCATTATTAATCATCAATAAATGGTGGGTCCCTTTATTAGTTACTTTGTGCATTGTTAAGCATTAATAAACAGAGGGTCCCTTTAATAGTTACTTTAGGCATTATTAAGCATTAATAAACAAAGGGAACTTTATTAATGGTACTTAGTGCATGATTAAGAATTAATAACCAGATGGTCCCTTACTAACATTAGTGCATTAATAAAGAGTTATTTTATTAATGTTACTTTTAAAATGTTTTGTTATGTGAAGTGCCTTGTGATCTTTGTCTTGAGAGACGCTATATAAACGATAATTTTCTTTCTTTCTTTCTTTCTTTCTTTCTTTCTTTCTTTCTTTCTTTCTTTCTTTCTTTCTTTCTTTCTTTCCTATTCACTCTCTCTCTCTTTCTTTACATTTTTTAGTCGCAATTGTCTATTTTTTGCTTATTTTAAATATATTTTTAACCATTTTCTAAATTATTTTTATATTTTTACATTTTTTGTTTTTGTGAAGCGCCTCGTGATTTTTTATCTTGAGAGGTGCTATAAAAATTATATTTTCTTCTTTCTTTCTTTTCATCTTTCTTAGTGCATTATTAAGCATTAGTAAACAGAGGGTCCCTTTATTAGCATCACTTACTGCATTATTAAGCATTAATAAACAGAGGGTCCCTTTATTAAAATTATTTACTGCATTATTAATCATTAATAAACAGATGGTTCCTTTATGAACATTTCTTAGTGCATTATTAAACATTAATAAACAGAGTATCCCTTTATTAAAATGACCATTGTGGTTAATTATTAGGTGTCAATAAGGTTAGGACAAAGGGCTGGGGGATGACTGCTTAGTAATGAGTTACATAATATGGTTAAGCAGTTGGTAATACTTTATTTATCAGTTTATTAATGCTTAACAATGCACTAGGTAAAGTTAATGAAGGGACTCTTGTTGAAAAGTGTTACCTTGATATTTTAGCTACGTAACCGCCCACACCTGCTTAATATTGAGTGTTTAAGATAGAAATGGGGTTACTAACTTACTAATGTTTGTATAGGCTCAGTCAGCTATGAAAAAATAATTATTAATCATAGATTTTCTGCATTATAGCAGTATGTGAGCACACATGCCTTTTAAGATCATGTGTTTTTTTAATTCATTCAAAGGATGAACACGTTTGTGCTGCAGCCACTGGTCTTTCTGTGCATGTGAATGTGTGCATGTACAGTATGTGTAGCATCCCTCTTTTTTCAGGCTCAGAAGTTTCAATCAACAATGAATAACAAGAACGTGCTTATTTTCCATTCTTAAACACTCCTGGTGTTTTCACCAGAAGACATTTATTTATTTATAAAGTTAAGGTCATCACACACGGGTGAACTTCATCTCTGCATTTGACCCATCCCCATGGGGAGCGTTGAGTGCAATATTAAGCATTAACAAGCAGAGGGTCCTTTCTTAACGTTACTTAGAGCATTAGGTTTCTGCGCTCGGGAACTATTTGGTGGTTTAACCCCATATATTTCCAGGTTTAATGAACGCAATGGGGGTTTGTTCCATGGGCGAGATGCTGGAATGCTAAGGGGTTAACCCCCCAATCCAGTCCCTTACATGTTTTTACGTGGAGTTATAAAATGCTTCATTTAGTGTTGATTTTCCATTTGCAGCACACAAAAAAACCCACACAAGTTTATTCTTATTTTTAAAAAATGGATTAACGATGGATCAGTGACAGCAACATTTACTCATAATCAAAGTTTTTCTCCATGCTTTAGTCACATTTGTTGGCATATTTACTCCTGAATTAGGGTTTAGTTCAAACATCCTAATATTTTTGTGTGTGTTTTTTTAGTTATGTGGAGTACAGCTTTCAATCAAATAAAGTTAATAAAATCTACTCTTATCCAGATGTTGACCTGTCAGCCAAATAATTAATGTGCTTGGATAATTAATTAATCTTTTGAACGTAAAGTGATCATCTTTTTTTAGGATAAAAAATCTGAAAAAATTAATTATGAGACGTATTAAAAAAGTATATTACATAAATTGAATAAGAAAATATGCTGATCAGCAGATTGAAAATGTGATCAGCTGCACTTTTGAGGGTAAATGGTTCAAACTTGTAAATAAAAACTCATAATTTCAAATCACAAGGAAGCTTTCTACGTTAAACTGATAGAAACATGATATATTTTCATTATGAGGTGTGACAAAAGCATGAAAAAGATATTAAATTAGTCAATTTTCCTTTTTGTCTACAGCAAGATGTGGAGAAGTTCTCTGATATCGAAAAACTCTACCTCTACCTCAAGTTGCCATCTGGTCCCAGCAGCAGTGCTGACAAAAGGTAACGTCACACAGAAATGTTAAATAAAAAGGCAGCAATTTAATTAGAACAAAGCTAAATTTGAGGTAAAACTGAAGATTATAATAGTCTTCTTTCAGAGATTGTAGTAGAGGAAAAGGATGTTTCATTAATAAAAAAAATTTCTCCATACATAAGTATTCAGTTAGACAAGATTTTTCCTTCAAATATGTGGATGACAGTAAAAATAACTCAAACTGTTATGAACTTCACAGCATAAAATAATTTAATGAGTCTATTCACTAATTGTGATTAAAAAAATGCTAAAGGTGGCTGTTCATTAAACCATTTCTTACAAAAGTATTCAGTTGAAGTTCAGCTAAGCCTTACGGTAACATTTAATGTGTGATATATTTGAGGGGAATAAAGCTCCCGTGTTCTGACAGAGCATCATACATACCAGAGCGGCATACATGGTGTTTATGTGCACATGCGCATTCATCTAAACCTCTATGACATTCAGCATACACACGGCAAAGTCAAGTGTATGATGATCCGGCTGGTAAAACCACCAATCAGGGTATCATACGATATTTCTAAACAAAGTGTATGACGATCTGACTAATAAAACCAACAATAGGGGTATCATATGATTGTTCTAAACAAAGTGTATGATGATCTGATGGGTAAACTGGCCCATCAAAGTGTCATTCAGCTTAAAAAGTTTATGGTGATTTTACAGCATATGTCAACACATATGCCAGTCTGACAATGTATGGCAATTGGACAGAACACCTGATCAGTTTGTCACTCGTGCAGAATTTACACAGAATGATTCTCAAACCGTTTCTGCACCAAATATGAATGAAATAGTCTGAGTTAAAAAGCCAAACTGTCTTTGACTCTGATTTACCAGTCGATGACCCAGATCTTTTTTCTCAGTGACCAGAACGCCCTGTCATCAAGCCGCACACAGCAGATGCATGCATTCAGCTGGATCCGGGAACATTTAGAGGAATACCCGGAGACCTCTCTTCCCAAGCAGGAGGTCTATGACGAATACAAGTACGTATAGAGTAGCACACATCCCAGGCAGCACACTTTTTGAATTGATTTTCATTTTTCCTGCGTGAGGACAACAGTGTTAGAGCTTGGTCCTGCTCCACATTCATGCAGGCTAAAGTGTCAGTATAAATAGATGCAGCAGGCATGTAAATCAAAGAGCGGCATGTGCTGGTAATATTAGAATGGAAAATCTGAGACAGTCACTGAAATGCTCTGATGGACTTATGTAACTTTTTTATCTTTTTAACTCCAACGGGACAGAAATACAGCGCCATGTAGAAACACTGGCGCCTTCAGGGCAGCTCACAGAAAAAAGGCTCATTAATCATCAAAAACTTGTTTCTAAAGAGCAAAAAGTCATGTTTAATCATGAAGAATTGTTTTTAATGAATATATTGACATCAAAATATTAGAAACTTTGCATTATAAAGATCTGGTTTTTTTTAACTCCACAATCCTGATAAGGGTTTTGCACTTGACAAATAAAAGTTACAGGTACTGAAAAGTGGTTTCTGCTATCAAAGGATGAGCAAAAACCGCCAGAGAGCCATTAAACATGGAAGTTTTTGTGTGTAAGGTTTTTGATGTGGGGATCTTGCATTAAAGTAACACAGCAGTTTCCTGCACCGCCCTACTGGTTGAAAAGGGAATTACAACTGTCGTAAACAACCCTGCTGTAGCCAACTAATACTAAAATAAACCACAGAGCAAAAATATCCACACCATTGGATAAAAATAATAATAATAAATAATAATAATAATAATAATAATGTATTTTATTTGAAAGCGCCTTTCAAGGGACACAAGTACACTTTACAGCAATAAAATAACAACAACAAACCAAGTTAAAAACAGCAAAAATCACACACAGAAGCCTAAAAATACAAACTAGATAATAAAATCAATGAAGATGGAAACTATGACACTAGCAGTATGCAGTCTGAAACAGGTGGGTTTTGAGTCTAGATTTAAAAGAGGAGAGTGAGTCAGAGTTATTATTACTCCCAAGTCCCAGAAGCAAACTTCTTTTTCTTTTTCTTCTGCTTTTTAGTGTCGATTGGCAAACTGAAAATGCTAACCGCTAGCTCCTTTAAACTAGTGTAGGCCGCACTGATGTTCACTTTGGTTTTCGCTCTTAGCTTCATCTCCAAAGACATTACTCTCTTACTTTTAATTCAAGGCTCTGCCATGATGCCAACAGAAAAAGCAAACTTCTTTTTCTTCTTATTGTGCATTTTATTGACGATTGGCAAACTGAAAATGTTAACCACTAGCATTACAGGTAACAGCCGTAAAGCAGATAAAGAACACCCCCTGGGACACCTAACCACTCCACAAAACTATTGAGTGCAGTTTTTGGTCAGCAGAGGGCTGCAGAGTGGTGTCAAACACGAACTGGTAAAGTTTCTAACCAAACAGTCACTGATATCAATGTTAAAGGTCTAGCTTAAATGTGTAAAACCTATCTATTGTTATAAGTCCTAAGCTAAATGTGTTAATCATCACTAATTCTGTATAATGCTGCCTCATTTCAGGAGCTTCTGTGACAATCTCAACTACCACCCACTCAGCGCGGCAGACTTTGGAAAGATGATGAAAAATGTGTTCCCGAACATGAAGGCGCGCCGACTCGGCATGAGAGGAAAATCCAAATATCCTTTACTGGAAACGGGTTGTCTGTCTGGCCTGTGTGTGTTTATGTTTATGTATTTAGCAGACGCTTTTGTCCAAAGCGACTTACAAGTGATAATTGGCATGTTGCCCTTGAGGCTAACAACAACAACAATTTCCAGTCAGTCGTAGGTGGCAGTGAGGCAGCATGATGAATCATGGAGAGGAGGGAACAAGGGGTGGACCGTAGAGAGGGGGGACGGGTGCAGGGAGGGTGCTAGTTTAGAAGATGCTCTCTAAAGCGCAGGGTCTTCAGGAGTTTCTTGAAAGTCGAAAAGGAAGTCCCTGTTCTGGTAGTGCTTGGAAGGTCATTCCACATTTGTGGAACGATGCATGAGAATAGTCTGGATTGTCCTGAGCGTGGTGTAGGCACTTCTAGCCGACGATCCTGTGATGACCGGCACGGCCGGGCCAAGAAGTAAGCCTTTGCAAGAGTATTCAGGTAGATGGGAGCCGTACCATCTCGGACTTTGTATGCTAGAGTTAGCAATTTGAATTTGATGCGTGCTGCTAGCGGTAGCCAGTGGAGCTCAATGAACAGAGGGGTGACGTGTGCTGTTTTTGGCTGATTGAAGACCAGACGCGCCACTGTGTTCTGGACCATTTGAAGAAGTCCAGAAGACCACTTAGAAGAGCATTGCTGTAATCGAGGCGGGAGATGACAGTAGATTGCACCAGGAGCTGGGTGGCATGTTGTGTTAGGTATGGTCTGATCTTTTGTATGTTAAACAGCGCAAAGCGGCATGAACGAGCAACAGAGGCAACATGATCTTTAAAGGTCAAACATCAATCACAACACCCAGATTTCGAACTGCCTTTGAAGGAGCCAGAGATAGGAAGTCTTTTGGATTGACATATTGTGCTGTATGGATGGTTTTGCTGGGATGACAAGTAGTTCAGTTTTAGAGAGGTTGAGTTGGAGATGGTGGGATTTCATCCATTTTGATATGTCAGAGAGACAGTTTGATATTCGTGCAGAGACCATGTGGTCGTCTGGTGGAATTGACAGATAGAGCTGGGTGTCGTCTGCATAGCAGTGGTAGGAGAAGCCATGTGATCGAATGATCTCACCCAGTGAGGTGGTGTATATGGCAAAGAGAAGAGGTCCTAGTACAGAGCCCTGGGGGACTCCTGTGGCAAGATGGTGCACGGTAGAGGATTGTCCAAGCCAAGATATACTAAATGATTTTCCTGTGAGGTACAATTCAAACCAGGCGTGTGCTTTCTCTGTGATGCCCATGCTAGAGAGTGTGGACAAAAGGAAGCCATGGTTGACAGTGTCAAATGCTGCCGATAAGTCAAGCAGGATAAGCACTGAGGATTTGGCAGTCGCTCTAGCTTCTGTTAAGGATTCCGTCACTGCTAACAGATCAGTTTCAGTGGTGTGGCCCTTTTTGAACCCAGATTGGTAAGGGTCAAGCAGACAGTTTTGTGAGAGGTATTCTGTGATCTGCTTGAAAGCCGCCCTTTCAATGATTTTGGACAGAAAAGGGAGGAGAGAGATAGGTCGGTAGTTCTCCACATGATTTGGAGGAAGAGATGGTTTTTTTTAGCAGCGGTTTAACCTGAGCATGCCTGAGAGAGGTGGGAAATGTACCGGATGTCGGTGAAGCGTTGATCACATGTGTGACTGCTACGGCTACTGTAGGAGCAATAGCTTGGAGCTGCTTAGTCGGAATGGGGTCAAGTGAGCATGTAGCAGGGTGGCTGCCCGTGAGAAGCTTGGACACACAGTTCTCAGTGACATGAGAAAAAGAGGAAAATGAAGCAGTAGGGCTTGAGATGGTTGGGCTAGAAGGAGTTTGTGGTAGCGAATGTTCAGGAGTGGCCAGTTGAGTAAACTGTTTGCTTATGGCTGCCACTTTGTCAGTGAAGAATGAGGCAAAGGTGTCAGCTGATAGATTGTTGGTAGGAGGTGGAGACGGAGTGTTGAGCAGAGTTTTGAATGTCGAAAATAGTTTCTGAGTCAGTAAAGCAGAGAATTTTGTCAGTGTAGAAAGCTTTCTTTGCATCAGTGATGCTGGCAGAGAATGAGGACAGTAATTCATAAAAATTTCAATTGATCACCAGGATCTTTTGTTTTGCGCTATTTCCGTTCCGCAGCTCTAAGATTGGTGCGTAGAGACCGGAGGGTATCATTTAGCCAAGGGTGCGACTGAGAGGATCTTGCTGGTCTAGTGGCTAAAGGGCACAAGTTGTTAAGACAAGAGCAGAGTGTGGAGCAGAGTGACTCGGTAGCATCATTCACTTCATAAGCAGAGAATGTGCTGGGAGATGGAAGAGTGGAGGCAACAAGAGGAGAAGTGGTTGAGTGCCAGATTGCGGAGGTTGCTGTGGAATGCGACCATTGGTGGACATCCCTTGTAGAGTCGTGCTGAAATGGATGAAGTAATGATTGGAAAGATGCAGCGGTGTGACAGAGATTGTGTCTAAGGCACAGTTTCTGGTGAAAATGAGGTCAAGTGCTTTTCCAGCTTTGTGAGTAGGAGGACTTTGTACTAGTTTTAGATCAAATGGTGACATTAGTGACAGGAAGCCTGATGAGCTGGGATTGTCCAGGTGAATATTCATGTCTCCAAGGACCATTGTGGGACAGTCGTGCTCAGGAATGAAGGAGAGCAGGGTGTCGAGTTCATCAAGAAAGTCTCCCAGTTGACCTGGTTGGCGATATATGACAACCAAAAAGAATTTTTTTCGGTACAGTTACCTGGATGGCATGGTATTCAAGGGAGTTGTATTCTGTGATGGGTAGCAACTGACTGTATATCCATTTGTTGGAAATTAACATGCCCGTTCCACCACCTCGGCCAGATGCACGAGAAGTGCGGGTGAAAGTGTGGTTAAATGAGCGAGCAGATGGGGTAGCACTGTCACATGGTTTGATCCAGGTCTCAGTGAGAGTGACAGGTGGTTTGCATATGCGGTAATGAAGTCTGCTTTGTTTACAGCTGTTTGGGGGGGGGGGGGTAAGCGAGCGGAGGTTTTGAAGGTTGCGAAAGCGGTTTGCTGTGTGTGACCTTCCTCTGGAGTCAGTGATCACAGGTATAGGATAATTGCAAGGTGTTGATGGAGCAGCGTCTGGGTCGAGTTTGTTTGCTCTGTGTACACGCGCAGGTAGACACCATCGTAGACACGTATGTCTTTACCCCGGAGTGTCATCAGGTGTAGATCACCTGATGAGAGTTTTCAGGGAGGGGAGAAACGGCTCGTTCACAGCCCCTGATTGCACTTATTGTTTTCAGCTGGTCCAAACCGGAGCTACTAGACAACAGGATTACCCACAGATGAGTTTCCTTCTCTTTCCCAATGGAAGATAGTGCAAAGCAAAAGTTTAAGAAGACAAAAACAAGCACTAACAGACATGCAAGGCCCTTCGGTGCAGATTCAAGTCTGTTTGAAAGTGCTTGCAGTTGCTTTTTAAGCTTTGCTTCAGGTGAGAGGACAGCCCACCTAGATCACCTGATGAGTGTTTTCAGGGAGTGTGTGTGTGTGTGTGTGTGTGCGTGCGTGCGTGTGTGTCCACACTCTTAGACCATCTGCTGCAGCAGTTCATTTGCTCTCTAAATATAGATGTGAAATGAAATAAAGTCCCCCTCAGCCTCAAAGGCACGAGCATAATGCAGAAACCGTCTGGGGAGTCTATGTGATCTTGACCTTCATGCTCACTTTAGTTTGGTTCGTGACGTCAAAGTGCAGCGTTGGATTGTGTTTGTGACCTTTATCTGGATTAAGAAAAGTGGGGTCACAGCTTCTAGTTTCTGCCATTTTCCTCCAGAAATAATCAAACACAATCAAAACAGTTTCTTTTCTTGCAAAACCTCCTGTACGTAAATGTTTAAATGTATTTATTGAGGTCATTTTTTAAACGAGTGCAGTTATGAAATCTTTACATTTTCATTAATAAAGCCTCCTTCAGGTTAGATTAACTCATTCACTGCCAATGACGATTAAAGTTGTCACTTGCATTTTTTTACTGTTTGGGCATCGGAAAGAGCCCCCTTGCTGAGAGAACAAACATCTTAGCTCTGAAGCCGATCTTCATCTGCATAAGTCACATGTCACGTGATCAGGAAGCAGAAAATCCATGTGTTAGGAGATCGTTTTGGGCCGTTCCTGTAAAAAAAAAGCGAGGCACGAACCGGAAAAGCGTCTACCGATCACAATTTGACAACGGATTATGAAATAACGGATAACGCTCGAAACGTGCAGATTCTTCCTGATGTAAGAGGCGAGTCTCCTCTTTGTTTTGGTTGTTTTGGCATTGACATCATCCTAGCGCTCAACGTTCTGTGACTCTTAAAAAAACCGTAAAAACGGCGAGAAACGCTGGCAGCGAAGGCCTTTAGCGATCAGGGAATGGCTGGCAGTGAATGAGTTAAGTGCCCTCTGCTTTCTCCACAAGCCACACCACCCGATAGATTCTGGCTAGAAATGGTCCAAGTTGGAAAATGTTCAGTATGGAGACAATCCTGGTCTTCAGGAGCCACCGTCCTGCATGTGTAGGTGTTTGAACCTGTGGATAGCAAATAAGTGAGAACATCTGGAAGAAATTGTACAAAATAATGCTGCTGTTTGATCAGATGATGCGGGGAAACGCCTAAAACATGCAGGATGGTGGTCCACAAGGATCAAGATGCTCAAAATCAGGCTTTGTACATCAGCAGCACATCCTGTGATGGTTTTGACACAAACAGGACTCTCGGACTATGTTGGGATGCAGCCATGTACTGGAGTTTGATGCTGCTGGTGTGACGGGGTATAGCCTCAGCAGCACCTCTGATAATGTTTGCATTCTTTTATTACATTTATGATATAATTTTGCAAATAAACCAGCTGAAAGCATAAAACCGATGCAAATTAGCTTTCTTTACTTACCAGATTTAGAGCTTTTGTCCTTAACACTGACCTACATATTGCTACAGCGGACTAAGGAAGAGACCGTACATTCATATGCCATCTTTACCCACCCTGGACCTCCATAAAACACCAGACGGAGTAAGATCATCAGCATTGTTACTCTTTCATTATGCTGTTTCTGTATATTTAATCATGTCTGCTGTGCGTAGCTCCACTGTGATGCGCTGGAGTCACCGTGCCAGCTCAGCAGCATCAAGGAAGAAGTGAGATTTGCAGCCTGCGATCTGGTGTGTGAGTGGGCCCAGAAGGTGCTGAAACGCCAGTTTGATTCCGTGGAAGACTTGGCTCACTTCCTGATTGACAGCCACTACATCAGCAACAAGTCGCTGGCAGCTCTCACCATAATGACGGGCACAGCAACAGGTAAGAGATGGAGGAAGAGGTGCTGACATCTGGTGGCAGCTGCCTGTTACTGTACCTACTTTTATCCTTTTGTGTGACTGGAACAAGATAAACCTGAGAACACTGATTAATACATTCATTCCTTCTATGTATTCTTTTCAGTTCATATTTGTGATAAATATTTTTTTAAATTTATCTCAAAGTATCTGCACAATATTAGTTTCTAATTCTTCTTTTTGTTGTTTTGTTTGTTTGTTTTGCCTTATTTTTAGTGGCGTTGACCAATCTAATGATACAAAATAAGGCAAATATGAAACAAATTTTCAAATATCACTGTAATATTTTATATATTTCATTGAATGAAGAAAACTGAGTGTAAAAATCCTAAAACAATATTCAAATAAAGTATGTTTACCTCCTTTTGTTGTTTCTCCAGAAAGCAAACCTTCACAGACCGTCTCAGCATTCCTCCCCACATCAGAGGCTCGCCCCTTCCAGCCTCAGGTGACGATGTTTTCATCACCGTCCGTAGATGCCAAGCAGCAGCTGCAGAGGAAGATTCAGAGGAAGCAGCAGGAGCAGAAGCTGCAGTCTCCCTCACCTGCAGATGGACACGCTAAGAGGGTAGAAGACGTTGTGGCTAGTAGCCCCACCACTCCTTCACCACAGCCGACCTTTGGCATTGTGGTTGCAGCTGTCCCAAGCCCCATCACTGTGAGAAATTTGTTCTTTTCTAGCTAAACACACACTGAACAATATACCTTCTTGAAGGGCTGTGTAATAGATTGAAAATGTATTAAAATTGCAGAGCCTTTCAATAAATTGCAAGCATCAGTTTTGCATGCAAAAAAATGAAAATTTAAAACTTAAATAGAACACTACTCCCCTAGAGTTTTTAAACATCGTTGTAACTCACTATCGGGCTTTATTTCAGCTTGTATGTTGTTGAAATATTCAGCAATAATTTAGCATAATCTATTTTCTTTCTATTGTGAATCCCTTCTGTCACATTTAAAACTTTTCCACAGTACTGTTAACATAAAAACATGTAATTCTAATTCTATGATGAACCTTGTGATGTCAAATTTATTGCTTTTTTGTTTGTTTTTTTCTGCAGGTGCAAAAGAGCAGGCAGCTGATGTCACCAAGTCCTGTGGGGGCACTAGAGAGCAAAGTGCTGCCTATTAACTTCCAGATGTTGCCCCAACCAGTTCAGGCAGTGAAACAGAGCCCCAAACCAGCCCAGAATAATCTAATCAGTCCAGTGGGGGAGAGAACAGCTCGGCAGCGCTATGCTCAAATCCTTCCCAAACCTTCGGCCACCTCTGCCGTCGCGCTGCACTCCCCCTCCACCATGATCATCACCAACAGCCCCATCAAGACTGTGATGACCACATGTCACATCAGCCCAGTCAGTTTGGTTAAGATGGCAACCATATCACTGGCTCCTAACAGCAGGGAAACCACATCTCTAACTACCACCACGCTGCGACCGGCTTCCGCAGGTATCACTTCTGCAGCAGCAGGAAGCGCTGGTGCCAATCAGAGCATGAGGAGTACGTCTGCAATGCCCATTCTGGCCCCGGTGGCTGAGCTTGGGATGATCACCGACACTCAGAGCATGGACGTCGAAATGGAAGTTGAAGCTATACACAGAAACAGTCAGATGCAACGCTCTGGTGGTCAGGTTTTCATCCAAAAAGCAATGGTTAGTAGAGGCGTTGGTGCTGTGCAGAGAGCTGCCAGCGTGCCCATCCCTCAAACAAAAGACTTCCTCATTTCAGAGGAAATGTCCAGCTCTAGATGCAGTGGGAAGCCCTCATCAGACACAAACACTGTGGCTGATTGTAGCAATAACAGCTTTAATAAAAGCACTGTGCACTTAACAAGTCCTACTCAGAGTACCAGCACTGTTAACTTCAACACCAGCAGACTCCCATCATTTGACGGCGTCCACACAGAGGAGGGTTTCGTACCCATGAAGAGCCTCAGGAAACGCTCAGGTCTCAGTCCAGACTTTTCCCCAGTTAAAAGGATTTTCATCCCCCATCAGCCAGCAGAGGGCGCCCTTGCTTCTGAGTATATCAACACAACCGAATATGTCTCCTGCTCGGGTGCAACAGGAAGACCTGAAAGCGCTCCAGTCACACAGGAGGTGGAGATGAGAATGAGCTCTGCATCGTGCACTTCCTCTGTCAGAGCTAGCGGCTTTGACTCTGTTGCCAAAACACATAGCTCATTGCACAGGGACAACACTTCCACCATTATGGAAACTGGCCCTTCACTCAGTGACGCAATATTACAGGAACGGCAGGAGCTCACAGTGGGTAACATGCATGGAGTATCCACTAATACTGGTTTCCAGAAACATGCAGGTGTGAGTTCAAACTCAACAACAGGATGTCTGGATGGAGCTTTACAGCAGATGTACGCTCAGCCCGACCCTGCTAATGACACCCTGCAGTTTTTTAACCAAGCATCTTCTGCTCAGCTCCCAGTGCAGGAACCTATGGACTACTTTTCCTTTGATGACGATGTGACTCAGGACAGCATTGTGGAGGAGCTGGTTCAAATGGAGGAGCAGATGAAGCTCAAACGTCTGCAGGAGCTTGGGAACTGTGGCCCTCTGCAAGGCCAGCACACCCTGATGCCCAGCAACGCACCTTCCACCAGTCAGGCCACGACGGCTTTCTATCACACTGCGAACAACAACAGCCGCCTGATCCAGACTCCCACACCCACTTCTGAGATGATGGGAGGAGTCCAAAGCCTTACCGGAGAGAGTCCCTGCTCCTACATGGCTTCTACCACTCCGGTGGACAGTGCGCTGGGAAGCAGCCATCACACCCCGGTGGGAACGCCGCACTCCAACTGCAGCAGCAACATTCCCCCCAGTCCAGTGGAGTGCAGGAACCCATTTGCATTTACTCCCATCAATTCCAACATGACATGTTTCCATGACAACAGCACCATCTCCAGCAGCCCGGTCAAACCCATGCAGAGGCCGACGGCCACCCACCCGGATAAGGCGAGGCTGGAGTGGATGAGCAACAGCTACAGCAGTGGGAGCGGGAGCACTAACAAGTCAAGTGGAGTGGGAATCCTCACCGGCTACAGGGGCCTGATAGATGAGCACTTTCAAAAGCCTCACGCCTTTGCCGTTCCTCATGCACGTCACCATGACCACCACTGCGGCCGCTTGACTCCCATCTCCCCCGTGCAGCAGCAGGTATCCAACATGGCTAAGCAGGAGGGTTTTGCCGTGCCTGCCCCTCTGGATAATAAAACCCCCATCATATCCGCAGCGAATTTCCGGTGTCGCAGCGTGAGCCCAGCAGTGCATCAGAGGAATCCTCCCAGTGTCCCACGTTCCGTGGCATCTCCCTTCAATTCTCCTGTCACGCCCGAAGTGTTAAGCATTTTTTCTAACTGCAAGGCTAACCTCGCAGCCAGCAGCATGGCTCAGAGGAGCCGCTCCGTGCCTCTCAACGTTATGATGCAAACACAAGTCCCGCCCACACCGAACCAACAGTGCAGCAACAAGAACATCACCAGCGTCCTCCTGAGCAAGATGGAAGGAGAAAACTGTGATGGCATGCGAGGTTTGGGCCTCCATAATTTATCCTCCACCTACATGGCACGGATGAACCTCACTCAGATCCTGGAGTCCAAGTCCAGCCACTCCTGCACTGAAGACCAAGTCCGCTTGATGACTGACGACACCAGCAGCAGCTGCACCTCCCAGAGGCCGAAATACCTCGTAGAAAACACGATTAACCAGCAGCAGCAGTCTTTAATGTTAGCCATGAGCTCACTGCAGCAGCAGGAGGAGCTCCAGCGGCAGCAGCAGATGGATTTCAGCAGCGTGCATCACCTCATTGCCGACAACAGCCTCGCCACAGGAAGTCAGCTCTCGGATCAGGTATCTGAGCTGACTACAGGTGGAGCAGATTTCCCCTGTGAAATCAGAATGACATCAGAGCTGTCCAGCAGCATTAATGACCTGAACGCGCTGGACACAAACCTGCTATTTGACCCCAACCAGCAGCAGAGCAAATATGAAAATGCTGCAGCGGAGGAGCTGTTCCAGCCGCCACATTCAGCTGGACTCGAGTGGTTAGAAAGCAAAGATCATCCAGCTGTTGGGCTGATGGGCTGACAAACACAACGCTCATTTATTCACGTCATGTTGAACATGTTTTATTTATTTTCACACTGCGTGATGCAACACTGGACACGTCGAGGTTTGTCCAGTTTTAAGTGCCGGGATGAATGAACTGACATCATGCTGAGTAAAATGCTGGTCATTACCCTTTAATGGTTTAAAACATAATAATAACCTCATGTTTCATCAAGAGTATTACAAGTAGGCAAAACTAAAAACACTGCGATTTAAACTTTATGGTAACTTTATATTATTGTGTGTGAAGCTTAGCAATCAGTATAAAGTAAAAATGAATATAAATCCTGAACTAATAACAAAATAGAGATGTGTGTGTCATGTAGGGTTTAGACAAAAATCAACAAACTTTGTTATAAATATCTATTTTCTTCAGATATTAACAAAAACTAACATAAGGGTTTGTCAAATTAACTGATAATGTAGTGAGAAAACCAGATTTATCCTTGCAAAGATAGATTTTTTTTATGTCATGCACAAAAAGCATTTAAAGAAAACTAAAGAAAATCCAAAAATATTGTTCCCAAAGGTTTTATTCAAGAATTTAGCCAGTAATCTTAAAGCAGATCATAGATCAGGGGCATTCAATTCCGGTCCTGGAGGGTCGGTATCCAGCACATTTGAGTGGTTTCTCTAGTCCAGCACACTTGATCCAGTGGTTGAATCACCTGTGCAGCAGCTCATCAGGCTCTGCAGAAGCCTGTTAATCACCTGCTGATTGAAAGCAGGTATGTTAAATCAATCAATCAAAGATACTTTATTAATCCCAGAGGGAAATTAGAGTTTCAGTACACACAATTCAGAGATCAGACATGCATGGGCCAGACACATGACAAGAATTGGTGACTGTGGTCATTCGCAACCCTGAGTCGCGCTACCTTAATAGAAATAAGAGGGTTATATGAGGATTGGTTCAGGTGGAGGGAAATAAAAAGGCACTTCAGAGCTACCCTCCACCGGGAGGGCAGCTTTGCTCTGCAAAAAAAAAAAAAACCCACCTCAGACAGATATGCAACAGACTTCAGACAACACAACATAAGTGTCCACTAGATGGGGGTGGTAGGTTGGGACTCTCCCCACTTCAGTTCCTGCAGCCACGATTAGCAGCGCATGTCACCTCATTGTGGACAGGGGGAGGAGCATTGAGGGTTGGAGGGTTGCAGTGACCCTAGAATGTTTCAGCGGCCTTCCCGCAGTCCCGCCCAGGCTGGGAAAGGAGACAGTTGAGTTGCCATAGCGACAACACATTCCACATATCTTCTGAGGGTTAAAACTGAAATGTGCTGGATACTGGCCCTACAGGCCCAGAATCGAATAGCCCTTATGTAGATGATGGCATTACAATATTTAATAATTTTCATGCACTTTTTTTGCATTTTTAACTTATGCAAAGAAATGGACAAATAATTAAAGATGGCATGTTTTATATAAACACAGTTTGAGTAGAAGGAGTCACCGCTCATCTGGGAAAAGGTGCTGGATCAAAAAGTGGAATAAACAAAATGAGAATCCGCACACTTCAATCTGCGATGTAGGAGTTTATTGGTCAAGCTTTCGGTCAGAGACCATCAGGAATTGACCTTCATGATGAAGGTCTCTGACCAAAAGCTTGACCAATAAACTCCTACATTGCAGATTGAAGTGTGCGGATTCTCATTTTGTTTATATAAACACAGGTTAAAAGACACAAAAAAAAAACAAAGATATCTCCTGAAACTCGTTGAAATAGCTTTAATTGCTGAGCATTTAGGTGATCACGTCACACTGACCGCTGTGCAGGATTGTGGGAGTTTTAGTCTGTGGATGAAGTTTCAGCCACACTGGAGTAAAAGACAACTTTTAAGTTAAAACCTTGAATTACCCCAAACCCCAAAAGCACGCGTCTTGCAGCAGAAATTAAAAACCCGTTTCTTCCTTTTATTGTATTTTATGCATATTTCATGTGAAAATGATTTTAAATTATTGCGCTGGCCAAACCAAAAACTTACAAAGCAAATAAATGAATCATTTTTTAGAGAAACACAGCAGTGATTGTAAGGTTTTAGTGATAAAACTTTAATTAATGCTGCTCTAACAGGACGACCCAGATTGTCAAAACATGGTTTCAGGAAGCATGAAACAGAATTTTTGTACACAATCTGTGGGAAGTGCTGCAATCCAGCTCTTAAAAAGTTTACCATCACATACTGTAAAGTTTTTAAAACACTGCAAGTGCAAAATCAAGCCTAAAGGTAGTCCAACGAATTTTAGATAGGGGAGAGTTTTACTACTGTTTGACCGGGTAATAATGTCTAATACCTACTGTGGAGCACTGACAATCTGTTTCTGTTCAACACTGTGTTTAACCTGAGAAGCAAAAGCTTCTCTTCCCATCCTGACCGGGTCGCTTTAATGTAAAAGTCTGGTTTTACGCTGATGCAGAGCGGCGTGCGAACAAATCCTACAACCACTGAGTCAAAGATGCTTCTGAGGGCTTGTGGTTTCTGAGCCTTACATCCATGCCAAAGACCTAACCTAAAGCGACGTGCACTATAATTACTATTTAACCTTACTGTGAAGTGCGTACTGAGAGGTTCCAGCTGTATGGTGTGTACTGCACTTTGTCATGTGAAAGGAGAGGTGATGAGAGCACTAAAAAGACTTTCGTCTCTAAAATCTGTGGGGAGAAAATGATCTTTGTTTACTAAACATGGCTAAACATCTGGTACGCGTTTTTTAAAACGGTAAAAAAAACCGCTATATTATTGATTATTGAGGGTTTTTTTCTGATCTCACTCTGGAAGGGTTCATTTGTTGTACAAACTGAAAGCTGTTCAGTACTGTTTGTTTGTTTTCCTGCTATTTATTTACAGCAGGGGTGCCCAACCCTGGTCCTGGAGGGCCAGTATTCAGCAGGTTTTAGTTTTAACTCTGCTTCAACACACCTGATTTCAGTCAGCAGGTGATTCGCAGACTTCTGCAGAGCCTGGTGAGGTGCTGCACAGGTGATTCAACCACTGAATCAAGTGTGTTGGAGCAGAGAAACCACTAAAATGTGCTGGATACTGGCCCTGCAGGACCAGGATTGGGCACCCCTGATTTACAGTGTGTTGTTTGTACAGGAGTTGTAGCATTAAATCCTATATAACCGTATGCATTCACAGTTGTCTAACCTGCACTGATGGAGGGCTATATTCATACTACCTTCATGCAGTACACTTGGTTTTTGTTTCAAAATGTGATAAATAATGAGACTTTAACTGTTCTTGTAGGATTCAGAATTGGATGTTGGCAAAACAAATGAAAAAATCTCCAGAGAAGCATTTGCACTTGTTAGAAAATGTGAAAATGGCACTATTGTATGCTTTAAAGTTAATGTCTGGATACATTACAAATGCAGTGCATAGAATCGGTGCTTTTAAAGCAGGCTTTTTAATTGTAGTGTCAACTCATTTTGAGTTAAATTCACTTTTGAGGAACATAGACAAGAATTTATCTTCAGTTTGACCTTGTTCTGATGTTTAACCCAATCGTGTGTTCGTGTTAGCAATGTTGGTTTGATGAAGACTTTTACCCTTCCTCTTCTGAGTGGTTCAAAGCTGCAGAGCTCCTCTCCACTTTAGTAATTTTGCAGTGGATTTTAGTGCGTAATAGCTGTTGCTTTTGTAAGGGGAAGTGCTTGTTCATACATTTTTTAAACACTTTTCAAATTAATAAACGTTTTTTAAGTACAAAACTTGAATTGGTTTTCATTTCGACTAGATCACAGTGGAAAAGGAAAGTTCTGCAAATGTTATGGAAAAATGTCTCCCATACATGCTTTCTCTTAAATAGGAAAAGTGAATTAAGAGCTTGTTGCTCCTCATCTAAATTATTCAGAACCAAAGACAGATCTTTTACATTTATTAGTATCTCTTTTTTTTTTTTACTTTTTAATACACACAATGTAAAAATCCTGCCTCATTTATTTTGCTTGTGAATTAATTTTTCTTTGCAACTTTTCATGACTGTTTTTCCTCATTTTAAATGGTAAATGGCCAGTATTTGATATAGCGCCTTCGAGAGTCCTGGAACCCCTCAAGGTGCTTTACAAAACAATCAGTCATTCACCCATTCACACACTGGTGGGGATGAGCTACATTATAGCCACAGCTGCCCTGGGGTGCACTGACAGAGGTGAGGCTGCCGAGCACTGGTATCACCAGTCTCTTTGACCACCATCAGAGGGCAATGGGGTTAAGTGTCTTGCCCAGGGACACAATGGCAGTGACAAACTAAGCGAGGTTCAAACTGGCAACCTTCCGGTTACGGGGCAAGCCCTAACTCCTGTGCCACTGTCACCCCATATTTTCTATTCTTTTGAATTTAAATTGGTCTTAGAATTAATAGAAATGTCCATGGGGCTGTATGGTGGCGCCTAGCAGCAAGAAGGTCACGGGTTTGAATTCTCAATGTAATGTAGGAATTTACATCTTTTCTCCATGCATGTTGGGTTTTCTGTGGGTGCCCCAGTTTCCTCCCACAGAATAAAATTCTGCGTGTCTAGCAGACTGGATATTCCAAATTATCCCCAAATGTGAGTGTGTTGTTTGTCTCTTTGTGGCTCTGTGATGGACTAGACCTGTCCAGGTTGTCCACTGTGCAGTGGCAGCTTGTCCATATGGGGGTGCTGGGGCACTGCTCTCCCTGACTTGAAGAGAGAGAAAAAAAATCTAAAAAGTAAATAAAACTACAATATATATTTACTAAAAATGTGTCAGTTACTTAATTGTATATGTCTACATGCAATCTGAATGATTTACTCATTATTTTCACCAGCTGTCTGTCATAATTACTTCCACCGGACTCACTACTTTCAAAGCACCCCTGAACTGCAGCTATACAGCCAATCCTTTTTGGTTGCTAGAGAGAACTGGGTAATTTTGGTCCAATCAGCATCTGTTAATCTAATATCTCTGGGGTGTGCCTCAGATACAGAAAACAACTAGCTAGCATGCTAGGAGGTGCTGGATCTAATTTTCACTCTCTGACACTTCCTAATTCACACACTCACTGTTGGTTTAATATAAAGCTGAAATCCTAGCTGTCACTGTAAATGTCTGTTTATTTGTTCTCATTTTATGTTTAAAACAGCATATCTAATTCAATTTATATGTCATGTTACTGCCACCTATTGGCTAAACTGAGTATTTTGTTATGAAGTGCGCAGCTTTGAGCAGATGATTGAGACACACACAGGACCGCTGGCACTGAACACCTGCTTACCTTGACCCTAATGAGGATAAAGTGGTACAGAAGATGAGTGAGTGAGAAATGTCATCACACTTTCCAAAAAATGTTCAGGCAGAAAATAAGCAGGACCTTTTGGTTTCATTTTATGAACTGTTTATTACAGCATGCATGCAGTCTTCTCTGTAAAAAAGCAGAATAATTTGTAAAGGAATTTGTATTTTTTTTAATAAAAAATAGGCTTATTTATTATTCTGTTCATTATTTAACTTGGTACTGGGTTGCCCAGTAATCAGAAGGTTGCAGGTTCGATCCTGGCTCCTACCAGAGAATTCTGCTGTTGTGTCCTTGGGCAAGACACTTAACTCGCCTTGCCTGTTGGTGGTGGTCGGGGGACCGGTGGCGCCAGTGTTCGGCAGCCTCACCTCTGTCAGTGCACCCCAGGACAGCTGTGGCTACATCGTAGCTCATCACCACCAATGTGTGTGTGAATGGGTGAATGACTGATTGTATTGTGAAGCGCCTTGGGGGGTTGTAGAACCATAAGAAGGCACTATACAAATACAGGCCATTTACATGTCTGAGATTATGGTCTCCTTTTGAGGCCTGGCTGAGAAAAACATACAACAAATATAAAGCACAACAGAATATATCAATTATTAATTCTGATTGAAAATTATGTCCAGATACTTGATTTGATCTTTGTTTTAGATCTAAGTTTTAGCAACAAGTCTGTCATTAGGTAATATTTTGAATTTTTTTTTTTGGTTGCATTTAGCATCAAATTTAGTTGTGTGCCATGGGACTAAACAACATGAAAAACAGGAGAAATTAATTTGGCTACTTATGGAGATGATTGTGTAATCTGCATAAAATGGAATGCACCTTTTGATCAGTCATATTAATTATAGGGACTGAAGATCAGTGGCCCTAATAAAGAGCCCTGATGAACTCATTTTGAGAATTAAAAAGATTGTATTTGCCCTGTCAAGTAACTGTAAAAATGTAATCATTTGCAGAAAAGCCAACCTAAAGCAATTCCTCTAATCTCAATACAACAGCGGGCTCTCAGAGTGTCTTTTTTTGTTTATGTTTTACCCCTATTTACAAAGTGACTCGGTGGGAGCACCCTCAATTTCATTGTTCCTTTGGATGTAATGACAGTGAAGGACAATTATATTCTAGTTTAATATAATGCGCAAAATCTTCGTAAAAATCAAATCAAATAGATTTCCTTAAAATTCTTTTTTTAAGTTCATTAAATGTAATTGCATGATTCATTATGTGCATGTTGTAAAATATGCTAAAATAAAAGTTGGGACTTATGATGTCATGGTCGTGAGACACAGGTTTGAAAACTTACAAAGTAATCCCTGTAATCCTTTTGTTCGAACACTCCTGTTGCTGCAGGTGATGTTTTGGTCTTCAGTACCCTTTTGTGATTTGTGTTTTATGGAAAAAAGTTTTTTGTTTTCTAAACATCAGTAGCAACTGAGGGCTGAAGCGGTGCTGGAGTTGTACTCTGTCAGTGTTTACCAGTAAACCAGCAAACACCAACTCAGAGGGAAACCGGCGGATGGCTGTTGAAAGGTGAAAGGGTCTCTGCTCTTTTCCCAACACACTGCTGTTCATATTGCTGCAGGTCTAAACGTCTGAGCTGTAAATGTATAGCTGCACACAGCATCCAGCCAAAGTGATGAAATCATTAGCATTAAAACGTTTTGCTTTTCTGATTTTGATCCTTTACATGATTATATCAAGAATTTGCTCATGTGGCAATTAAATGCATAAAACTACTTTTTAAATCTTTATTCTCATTATTATCAATTTACTATCTGGACATCAAACTAAAATGAAAAATTCCTGCATCCAGACATGTCACCAATAGATTTCCCATTACCATGCAAAATTTATTTATAGAGAACATTTAAAAATCACATGCCAGCTGACCAAAGTGCTAACCAGAAAAGTTAAATGATAAGACACAGAAGCAATCACGAAACAGAGGGCAAAAATAGCAAAGTCCATAAAAATAAAAATGAATAAGAACCGAGACAGAGAAAAAAAACAGTGCATAAAAATGATGCATCATAAATAAAAATTTGGTTTGTACCAAAAGTCCCTCTGACTCAAGTCTGATGAAGCTTTATGAAAAGGAAATGTGATTTTATCTGATTTCCTGCCCAGCATTCAAAGTCATGAGATACACATAGGACTCGTGTTATCTGACCTGCACCGATGTTAAAAAGGCAAAAATTATTCTTAAGATGCGAGTCACTAGATCTGGTAGCTCCTTTGATGTCATACTCACTCATCTTTTCAAAAATAGGTTAGAAATTGTGACATAGATCTATCTAAAGGTTAGTAAAAAAAATATCTATTTTATTCAGTCACATGTGGTAGAATTACTTGCATAGTAATGTCATAAATCACTTCCTGTTTATGAAATTATGCTGAAAGATTCTTCAGAACCCCTTACACAATCAGGTTAGTTTGAAATGCCCCACATCATCTGCCAACACCAGCAGAGGGACTGAAACTGTTGCAGTAAAACAGAGGAAAGAAAACAGGAAGCTGTTGGAAAAAACAATGAACATACTCACAGACCAGGAAACATTCCCTGGTTTTGAAAACACTGATAAATATTTCATATCAGTAGCCATATTCCCTCATATAGGCTGTACACAAAGTAAATTGACTTGTGCTTGTTTTAGATAACTTTCAAATCAACTAGTAAAAAGCAACTAAAGCATGCCAGACTACAATCAAAGAGTGATTACATGTTTAAAATTAGTTTGCAACAGGGCCTTTTCTTTCTTTCATCGGTCTAGTGCAACTATATTTTTGATGAATTAATGACAATACAACAAGTAAATATATAAAAAAGCACTAGGTTAGCAATACATTAAAATAAAATAAAAACGATTTTTATTGAAGAAGAAGAAGAAGAAGAAGAAGAAGAAGAAGAAGAAGAAGAAGAAGAAGAAGAGTCTTAACTGTCACGCTATACGTTTATTTTCTTAACATTTAGTCCACTACAAATTCAGCCCGAGTTGCTTTCCTCCACGTTTGTTCCCTCAGGCTGTGGCTGCGTTCCTGAGGAAACGAGAAGGGGAGGGGGAAGAGGAGGAAGAGGATGGGTACGACCAATGACGACGATGCCTCAGCCTCTCTAGCTATCTGTAAACACAGAGGAAGAACACCTGAAGAGTTACTCTCTTTTGGAGACACACAGTTGTCTTCTTGTCGCTCTTTGGGAGAAGAAGCGCGAGGACATAAATGATGGCCGCAGTTCCTTCACAGATCCGAGGACTTCAAACAGACGAGGTAAACTAAATTCTAGTTAAGGAGGCTGCTCACGTGACCCTGCCGCTCGCCACCTTGCTAACTACTAACTACTGCTAACTCAAAAACACAGATAAAGTTAGCTTACTTACTAATTGGTAACGGTGGCGATTAATTTATATTTACAATGGCGATATGATTTTTTTTCTGTTAACTATTAAG